ACATGAAAAGTAGTGTACTGGGTTACACCATCCTATTCACTATAGGAATAGAGCTCGGCATGAAAAGTAGTGTACTGGAGTGTCAGGCCAATCCACTACCATCAGAGTTTACTCTAATTCCCTAGGGAGGAAAATCACAAAGTTTCCTTCCTTATGTTGGTTTTACGGCCGATCCCAACATAAAGAAATTTCCTATACTCCCGCAGTTGTGGTCCTAGAACCTAACTAAGCTTGATACCACTTTGTCACGACCGCGATTCATGGGCCGGACGGACTGTAGGACCCAGGTAAGCTTAAGGCTCCGAGGCCTCGTAAGTAAGCCTGAAACCTAAAAATTGTCTTCTCAATAAAAAATTTTAAACATTTACGAAAGTGCCCTGCTTACATACACTTATTTATAATTAGGCTCACGATTAATTTTCATCTATAATAATAACGACTTAAAATTATTACAAATCCTATAATCGGCGCGCGAGTTCACTAACAGATCTATACAGATAAACCTTCGGTACATTTATCTATTATAATAGAATCAATATAAAATTAGAGAATTTCTTTTTTTAACTTGTTTTAAAGAGCAGAGTTATAGCTTGGGATTTAGAAAAATGCTACTTCCTGAAAGATTTAAACAAAAGAGATGTGAGTTTATTAATGAATAATAATTATTGCACAAGCACATGCATTCACACAAATGTATCAATATTCTCAATGCTAGTCATCCGACTAGCTATACTGCTCACACAGACAGTCACAGACAAATGGGCATATCACCAGCATCCACAATTATTAACATCTTCATATAATCACATTACGTGGAAATTGGTCAGTGGAGTCACGCGAAACCCCCGATGAGCCGTCCTCTCCCATGCTCATCCTCTCACGTGTGCTTACCAGGGAGCCGATTCCCCATACTGGCCGACCGGTCTAACCTCACTTGACCAGCCTCTCATTATTTTTCCATTCTCTCTTTTTCTTTTCCATACCAACCAGGAGGCAACCCGGTCGTCTCCATCAAATCTAATCATCAGGCGCTCACAAACAGGAGGCCACCCTGCGGGCCTGCAAATCAAATCTAGATTATCAGGTGCGCCCAATAAAGAAGCCAACCTGTGGTTTCCCATATCAATAGACGGATCAGAACAGTAGGTGCACACGGGGGCGCCGATCTCCCAATTTACCCCGGCTAAACAGAAATCAGAATCAGGATCCATATAACAAGTAACGGTCTCAGCAATACCCCATGGTGACCACATTCCCACTTCATCCCAATTCCACACAAACAAATCACAGTATAGTCACAGCACAAATAATCAGACAATTCATTCATCATAATACACCAATTTCATCCAAGTGCACAATTAAACATCCATTTCTCGAATGCAACTAAATAATTAAATAGATACTATTAACGGTAAACAATAACGATAAAATAAATGATAATAACAATAAACAGTAGCAATGAAAATAAATAAATAATTAGAGCACTCTATTAATCATGTATTAAGTTATAGAATTAATCTAAATAAACTTATTAATTAAAACTAGTCTAGGTTCTATTGAAATTTCGGCAGCATCCCCCCTAAAAATAGGACTATCTACCTGTTTAAATATCAAGTTCTAGCGAAATTTCGGCAGCATCTCCCCTAAAAATTGGACTATCTACCTGCTCAAATATCACAATATTAATATATATTTATCAATCATTGCACACCGCCCATCTGTCGGGCAATCAATCAATTTAAAATCCCATCCTCCTTCCGAAACAACAATATCAACACTCAACCATTAATTTACAACAATCATGTTCCAATGGTAATAGCAATCATTCTTTACTTCATATAATTATAACTAGCTTCAAACTAGCTTCAATAAGGCTAATTTACAACAAATGAAAGCTTTAATACATATATAATTGAATAAAACTTTACATCATTATGGTTAATTTCACATTGTCTTCATTTGATAGTTTTATAATTGTTTAACTATTAATAGTACTCTTTATCAAGCTTTCTTTCTTCATTCTTGCTTACAGTAACAATCCACAAACAAGTATGAGGAGCACAATTATTCCAACAATATAAACTGTGGTTCAAGCAAAAAAAATCCATGCTTTTTTCTATAGCTAGAAGTTGCGCATTATATCAAAGAAACCTTGAGTTATTGATTTAAACTCATACATCATCATTGCCTACTTAACCATTTTCCCCACCAAAACTTAATTATTACCTTCGGCTTCGCATTTAACGGCAATCAATTGTTTCAAGCTAATTAGTTAAAATGGCATGCTGTATTTCAAGGTTTTCGCAACTCTTCGTATTTTCAGTTTATGCTCATGTAATTAATTTGACATGGGTTAAACTAATTTGCAATTACGTTTCTTATTTTGTTAAAATTCTCAACGCAACCAAACTAAAACATATCGCCTATCGCAAATTACCGCAAGCTAATCAAATTTAATTTATTCTTAAAAAAAAAAAAACTAAAAATGTTCTATATAACCTAATTTTCTTGTTATTCAAATTAATTTACTTTAATTCACTCTATTAAATTCATTAGTTAAATTAACTTCCGAAATTATAAAAAAAAACCTTGAGGATTGGTTCTTCGACCATACCGAATGAAAATCGGATTGAACGAATCAATCCAGGCCCGAGGAGAGGAAGGAAATTTGTCTTATTGGGACCTCGCCGGAGGCCGTCGCCCGGAGCGGCCGCGTCTACCGCGTTCACAGGTGGCCGGAAATCATCGCTGCCGCGCCGCAGAAACTGCCAATTTGTACACCCTAGAGTCCGAAATTTCCACCAAGGCAAACAATCATGCTCCGTTTGTTTGAGTCGGTGGCCATTTGGCCCTAACTAAACCGATGCCACCCGAAGCTTGGCGCCGCCGTCAATGGTGATTTCACCACCGAAGCCTGATCGTCGGAACTGAAGGGAGGAAGACACGCGCAAGACCAAGAGGAGTCGATTAGAGGTCTCCTCGCTGGCTGTGTCCGCCGAAAACAGCGAGAATCGCCGAAAATGGCTTTGCACGGTGTCGCGCTGCTTCTAACGCGATTTCTTCTCGTTTCAAGCTCTATTTTCGCAAAACGAGACTACAAATGGCTTCCTTTCTTTGTGCTCTTCAATTTAGAGCTATGGCTTGCCGATTTTGGTGGCCGGAGGCATTTTGGTGGCCGGAGGCCGGAGGTCGGAGAAGAGACAGAGAAGAACGCGCGGAGAAGAAGAAGAAGAGAAAGAAAATAAGAAGAAAGGCGGTTTCTAGCAATTTCTAGGCCATTCCCGGTTCGATTCAAACCGGTTTGGTCCAATATCAATTGTTTGACCCGATTTAATTTGGTTTGCCAGAAAATTTCAAGCTAGTTTTTGACAAAATCATTTGATTCTAGGTTCTGATTTATTTCGATTGTTTTAGTTAGGTTCCAGTGTAAACTTTTTTTTTTCCATTTACTCAATAATAATAATAAAATATTAATATAAGCACCTATTTGTTTTAGGTATAATTAATTTGTATTTATATTCCTAATTAGTTAATTACGAGGTTCGTATTATTTTTTCAATAAATTTAACCGTTCTCAAATTTGAAAAATTCCGATGATATTTGGGCTTAGGCCACTCGCAACCTTGGGCTTCCCAATTGACTAATTGTTTGGTAATTTATAGCTCCATATATGTTGAAAATCGAGATTTTTTTGATTTAATAAAATTCGAAAAGTTTCCGAAAATAAAATTCGGGTATTTCACTATTGAATATAATTAACGTATATTTTTAATTATATTATTATATATATATATATATATATATTTATATTTATTTATTTGTTGTATATAAGTATAATATTTTATATTTCTTTTTACCCTATAAATTATTGAACAATATTTTCCTTCTTTTTTAATTTTTTTAATAAGCAATTTCAACATATTGTATGATTTTAATCTCTTTTAAGCTTATATTACTTCCCAATATTTTCAAACTATTGATAAGTATTGATTTTATATTTATTTATATTGTGTATATAAGTATAATATTTTATATTTCTTTTAATATAAATTATTGAACAATATTTTCCTTCTTTTTTTATTTTTTTAATAAGCAATTTCACATATGTATGATTTTAATCTCATTTTAAAGCTTATAATTACCTTTCCCAATATTTTCAACTATTGATAAGTATTGAATAAATGTAATTTTATTAATATTTAAAAGGATATATATAACTTCATGAGTTGAAAATTTTTCAATATTAAAATTGTATTCGGCAATAATTTTTTAATATATCTGGTCAATATGCTACACTTTATCTTTTATAGTATTCAGTAACATAATATTTGAACTAATTTTTAGATATTAAAATAACGTTTTATAAAAAGTTAAATCACGTAATAATTAGCTTTTAATCTTATAAAAAGTTAATTAAACAGTTGACAACTACTAAACTAATTTTGACCAATAAATCCAAAAATTAACAATAGAAATACATTTTTCCCATAAACTTCCAAGTAAATATACACATTTGGCCTGAAAAGAGCAACATAGTTATTTTTTGGAAAAGTTATGGAATAAAGGCTAACTATATGCAATTGGGCGAATAAAAATAAATAAGCACATGAGAATGAGATGACATGGCATGGGATGGCTTCTAGAAGACCCGTAACTGGCTGTTCATGCGTCTTTCCTAGTGGACCTGCATTCATTATGGGCAGTTGCAACTTATAATCCACAGACTTTTACTTTTCTATGCTTCTCACTCTTCACTTGCTCAAATTTGCATTTAATGGTCCAGATTTTTTATATTTTAACTTTTTGAGTTTAAGTAATTTTGTAAACTGAAAATCTCACAGAAAGCACCTTTACTGTTACTTAATAAATTTTTTTAAACAATATTTAGCAAATTGCAATAAATAAAATAATTATATTTTATTAGAAAAATCTAAGAAGATAAGGCAAAATAAGGCAAGTAATAATAATTGTTGTTCGTTGATGACATAAAAATGAAACAGCCATACATGACACTTCTGATCACTCATATATGCTCACACACATCTCCTACACTCACTGCCTACTTATACCCAACCTCACCCTCTCTGTCTATCCACAACCTTTTCTTCTGATCTTCCTTCATTCTTTCTTTTTAGCATTCTGCTTATTGTAAACCTATCAAATTCTAATATTTTCTTGGTGGTTTTCTATCAATCTTCTGTTTCTTTGGTTTTAGTGGGATTGAATAGGAAAAGGTGCAGACTTTATTCTTGATAGATACCCTTCTTTCTCTTCAATTCTTGTGTCTAATTTTCGTTTTTTTGAAGAAAAGAAAATGGCAGAAGAGAAGAATAGTATTAAGAATTATATGGGGGTGGAGAATCAACAACTGATCCCAGGATTACCAGATGAGATCGCTATGGAGTGTTTAGTAAAAGTTCCATGCCAATTTCATTCTAATATGAAATCAGTCTGCCATTCTTGGCAAAACTTGATTTCAAATCCTTCTTTTTATCAACTAAGGCTTAAATCTGGTAATTCAGAGCAACTTATTTGCCTTGTTCAACCTCTTCCTTCATTAGATTCAATTCAATCACTTACCACCACCATCGCCATAGCCAAAAAGGAGGACAAATTAGAACATCAACAGCAGCAGCAACAGCAGATCCACAGTCCTCCTCAATTTGGCCTAAATATTTATAACGCTACGTATAATACTTGGCAAAAGACAGAGTTTCCTGGGAAAATCCCTATGTTTTGTCAATGTTTGGCAATTCCTTCCGCCAATAAATTACTCATTTTAGGCGGTTGGGACTCTGACACTCTAGAACCGGTACCGGATGTTTACATCCTAGATCTCGCCGGAGCTAGCGGTTGCAGGTGGAGACGCGGAGCGCCAATGTCTGTGTCCCGCTCTTTCTTTGCTTGTGAGGTGGTTGGACAATCGTGGGTTTATGTCGCCGGAGGACATGATAGACATAAGAACGCTCTGAATTCAGCTGAAGTTTATGATATTGAGAGAAATGAATGGAGAATTTTGCCAAATATGATTGAAGACAGAGATGAATGTCATGGAATGGCTTTTGAAGGTGATAATAGGTTCTGGGTTGTGAGTGGTTATGGGACTGATAGCCAAGGACAATTTAGGTCTGATGCAGAGTGTTACGACCCTGATAATGGCGTCTGGCATAAAATTACTGGTGTTTGGCCTTTTTCTAGTACTAGTCCTAGAGGAGCCACCACCATAGTATCATCCGTCAACAAGAATGAGCATCAGTGGCGGTGGTTCTTGGGAGGCCAAGAAGAAGAAGAAGAACAACAAATACATCAAAATGATGAGATTAGATGGGAATTAATAAGATCAAATCCAGTTCCAGACTGCGGAAAGAACCCATTTGTGATGAATATTGGATATGGTGATAATAAGAACAGAGTGTTTCTTGTAAGTGGAAGCAGCAGGAGATCAGAGTCATCATTTTCATGTAGTGAATGTGATTTTGAAGGAACATTTATCTTGGATAAAGATTGTAACAATGGTAGGACTAAATGGAACCATGTGCATACTCCTGCTGAGTTCTCTGGATTTCCATTCTCAGCTTGTTACCTTACAATCTGATGTGAGACTAACAATGGAGTAATGGCAGCTACTTGGTTATATTTGGTGACCTGCAATGGAATGTATCTAAGAAATTTCTTAATGTAAAATACACTATATTTCATTATGGCTCACCAAAGATACGCTCAAGTAGTAAGAGACTTCGAGCAATGATTAGCAGGTCTCCGGTCTCCCCATACAACCAAACTTAATGTTAAGTGAAAACTTGGTAATCAGTACATCATTGCGAAATTCTTCTTGAGAGATGGTTACAAGGTAAAATCAATCCAAAAAATATGGATATAAATGCACGTGATTTTGCGTTTCACTCTGATATTTTGCTTCTTTAGTCCTTTTTCTACTATTTGAGTCTTCTTCATCGGGCCCATGTAATGTAATTCTTCTTGTCATGTGGTGGTGTTATGCTTAATTTGGAAAATGAATGAAATGGAGATAAAAATTTAATATTTCATGTTTCATAATAGCTGTACCCAAAAAACATGAACATAGATGAAGCATATTTCAGACAAGTAAATAGCTGAAGTAGAAAAGAAAGCTATTGAAAGCGTACAAATAACAATTTTAAGAAAAAGAAAAAAGGTAAGAAGTATCAAGGGATAGAGGAACTGCTAGCAAAACGGAAATTCCTGCATTTATCTTATAATACACTATTAGTTGGAATATGTTAACACCTTGAAAAAATTTTAAAAAGAATCATAAATGCTGTGTACTGAGTGTACTCTCTACAAATCTTGAGCCACAAAAGGGGTAATGAACAAAAACACGAGTTGACTAAATAAGAGCTGCTGTGGAATTGGGTATACAACCCCATTACAAGCCAAACCATGTACAAGTTTTTAGACAATTAATTAAAGGAGTTGCCAATCATCCTCGTTTACAGGAGCCTCAGCATCATTCATGGGCATTACACCTAGGGAATCGTCTTCTTGAACCCCACTATTATCATTTGATGTGTCAGTGCGGCCCACCGACTTCGGCAATTTATGGGAATGAGCCACAGTAAACAAAGGTGCCCCATGAGAGTCATCTGCCAGCTTTGATGCCAGAAAACAGAATTCATCAAAATCATCTGTACAGTAGCAAGTATGAAAGTAATCAAGGTAAGACACTCTAGTTAATGAGTTTAATTTGAAAAGCAAGCCTTGGCTTAAATATCAAAGAACAAAAAACCAAGATAGAACATCGAAAGATAGAGCAGCGAACCTTTGTCTCGACAATAAAATCCAATTGCCAATGATGGATCAATGGATTCCAGAGGAATGTGCCTTATGAAACTAGAAAAATTTACCATAAATAAGCAGCAGATCCAAAAAGATAAATAATGATTTAAATTTCATTGCTAAAATAGATTAAAATTAGTCCTAGCAACAAGCTTACTCGCTGTGGTAAGATGAAGTATCAGCCCCTATGCCATCTCTGCTAATATTGACCACCTGAATACCTCAAATCATCAATAAGTTAACAGGCATTATTAAACAGCTCAGAATCAAATCTAACATTTCTAACAATGTTATGTATATCACAGCTAAACAAGATTAGGTATCATATACAACTGGCTTTGCAGATTCTACATGTGCGCGCACACTGAAATAAGAATTGAATTTAGAGAAAACCATAGAAAAACACCAAAACATGGCCGGGTTTATCCAGCAAACTGTATGCTGCACTGGAGCATTATGAGGTTTTGTTATCAAGCTTAATTATATGATTCAGAAAAAAGTATAGAGAAAAGGCCAGTCTCAAGCATCTTAGCAATTGGCAATGAAAAAATGCAGAAAATGTAAACTACTCATTTTACACGGTGGAAGAGGAAAGTTGGTTATCACTTATGCATATGTCAGCATCAAATGATTATGCATAATAGAGTATGAGAACTCAAAGTTGCAATGGAAGAACTGCTAATGCATGCCTGTAACGCCAAATGGTTGATTGGTGTCCAGATCATTGTCTATATATGTGACCTTTTATTTCTTTCCTTGATGCTTTTGTACAATCTTTTTTGTATCATATTATCTCCCTTGAGCTTATGGAATACTAACCATTTATCTGCATTTTGATTTAGGATCATGTACATTCCTGTGCCCATATCCTCATAGCCAATGTTTATGATTGAAGTATTCATTTTGTTTCCCCGTGAAAAAAAACGCAGCAACCTTATCTACACTAGTTATGCTAAACAATGAACTGCCTAGAACAATTACGAACCGCCTAAAAAAAGATAATAAATAAAACATCAACTTAGATATATATAAAGACTAAAAGAACAACTAGGAACATAAAAGTTACTAATAGTTTGTTCTGGAGCTTTGATTAAAATTTGATTTACACCACATACATGATAAATATAATGAAGGAATTTAATTAAGCCAAGTCAAGTTAAAAACTAAAAGCTCAAAACTCGATTTGGATGTATTCAAGACATTCAAATCGACTCAACTATCATTAATTATTCAAGTGAAGTTTTTATCCGATCTTAAATTAAAGGCAGAAAAAAGTCCAGTGAATCTTTCAGGGTTAGATGGTAAATAAGTTGTTGTTTAAATATGAATCATGTAAAAACGACTAATACTCAAGTAGACTGGTGATCTACTCAAGTTTTGTATACAACAAACAAGCTCAGCTCAAAATTGATCATAGAGTCCTAGTCAAGTTGATTCCAAATATTTTCCAAGTTGAGTTTGAACAAATAGCTTGTTTTGTTTACACGCTTATAGACTAAAAATCTGCAATACTGCAGAATTTTTCTACTACTACATTAGGGAGATTAGGATGGTCAAAATCTAATCGTCATTGCCTTCAAGGCACATAGAGCTCACAAGATAACTACCATGTATCAAAAGTTGCAACAACTTTATCCATGCATATAAATGCAGATTAACATTTCTGTTACTATTTAACATGTCAAGTTAAGTACTATTGAACTTATGCCACTTCCTATTTCTGTTACTACTTACCATTCAGATAAACATCAGCTTGCTATTATCCACTTAAGTTCCCATGCATAGCTCCTCCATTCCATATGTTAAGTTGGTATCATCACATAATAAAGCACATAGAATTATCAACTATAGCCAGAAGTTTAAGGAAATTCTTGGCATCTTCCCCTTAATTATATATGTTAGAGTCAACTGCCTTGAATGCAAAATTAGGCTATGGCTAAGCCAAGTACAATCTGATTAAATTATCCATACAGTATAGAGGCTCGCTTACCTGTTAGCAAACATTTGTTTACCGAAGCTAAATAATTATTACAGTCATTCAAACCCTTTCATGATATATGAGCAACTAGTGTCAGAAATTAAATAAAATCATGCTTTACCGGTTGGACTCCATGAGGATCAAGATAAAAGGCATTGTCATCTTGTACACCAACAATGTATGTTGAGGCACCAGGTTTCCCACCCATAATTCCAAGACTTTGAGGAAAGGTTAACGTTGCCTGTAGAGATGGAATATACCTGGTAATGATTTAAGAAAAGAAATGGTTAAAATATATGAGAATTACTCATAAAAATTTCAAATGATCCCTTTTTACTGTTTTTTCCAGTATTACTGATACATTCAGCATAATGCATAACTTGATTCTTCAAAGTTGTAACATTCTATTAGGAGGCATACAAGTTAATGCAAAAAAGGTTCGCCCATTGATAATAAAGAGAAAAACAGAATCACCGCCACATCATGTGCAGAGAAGGATAATTTTGTAACATAATTAGTATCAAGATATTGACAAGGGGGCAGGGGATACATATGTAAGCAACAAGAATGGTTAAATAACCTAACATAACTAATTTATAATCGAGTGAGCTATGATGTTGATAGGATCCCATAAATGACCTAAGTAGCTAATCACGATCCTGAACCAAAAATGAATCTTCATAAGCCTCCAACAAATTGTGGAGTTAAATGACAACAGGTTCTTCCATTCTCTACTGCACTACTGCACAAATCTGCAGATATGGGATGTCTAATATAAAAAAGAACCATCTTCCCATACTTCAGAATATCACCAAGCAACAATAGTCGAGCTTAAAAAATTTTCTTGAAAAGAAAAAAGCATTGTGCAGTGTGGAGAAGGAACACCTGATCTTCCCACTGTATACTGTTTTCTCTCAAATTTGCATCAACAAAAGAACCTCATGTTAAAGAGATGGTCAAAAGAATAACAGCAAAAGAACTTAATTAAGGATAAAAACTAAAGTTAAATATGGTTTCAAATTAAACAACAAAAAGAAATAGCTTACCATTTCCCTGTTTATTGATTGTTGATACAAAAAAAAGGAATGTACTCTAATATGGGGAAATTCTATGGTTAGTTCTACAACCAAAAACCTTCAATTCAATTCTTGTTTAGCAATTGGCAACTATTCTACCAAAGACATCAACAACATTCCCGAAGAAACTAGTCATAAACATAAAACAATAAAATTTTGAAGGTAATGCAACCACAATATTCAGCTGAGGGATCAAACTAATTGCCAAATGACATCTCCATCATAGAGACATAAACTCAATATATTCACAGACAACCACCAGACATACAAAAATTAGTTTTTAGTCATAGACGACAAAATTTTGTTAGGCATGACAAATCTAACTGTGCTTTAGCCTGTCTATAAATCAAAGCGCAACATCATAAAACATAAAATGGGATTCCCTCAGTTCCCAAGCAGTATGCAAGGTGGAAAAAGATGAAACTACAGCATCCAAGGAATGGAGTAAGAGGAAATTTTAACTTGAACATAATTTGCAGAAAGAGAACAAAGTGAATCAATTAAAAACTAATGAAACAAAGAAAGATATATAAGAAAGGTAAACTTAAAGCACAGGATTACAAACCTTAGATTTACTTTTTCAAGTCCAAGAACCAAGGGAACCAACAGAAGAATTGGTGTCCAATTTGCTTGACCTCTAGAAAAATCTAAACAGTGTCTTGAGGCATCTTCAATGCAGACAACTGGGGCTCCACCACGCTCTCCATCTTCATCACCAGAAACAACATAAACAGCCATTGGAAGTGCCTCATGTTCAAGGTTGTTTTCCTCTCTCTTACAGCGGGCAAGTAGTTCCCATGAGCGGCACATGGCATATGGGCCCACCCATGACCCAGCTGCAAGGCCATAAGCCTTTCCAGCATGAATAAGATTATGGATAGAGAAAGGCGATGCTTCAGAATCACCAAAAAGGTGCAAGATCTCAACATATTTTTGATCCAGTGGCTGCATAATTCAAAAAAAAAAAAAAATTGAGCATGCTTACTACGCTTCCAATGTGATCATGATTCGGTTACAGGTAACTTACATTTCCATATTTATAGTTGATTGACAAAAAGGGATAGCAGAACAAAGAAAGAAATCGAGATGGCATACTAAATACCATTCACTTTACCTTTTGGATAGGTTTTCTCCAAGATCTCCCCAGTTGATGAAAAAGCAATGCCTTCAGAGTGAGAAACCACAAAAATTAACCAATCAGAATGAAAATTTCACAATATAACATATATGCAACATGTTAAGAAAGTTATACAGATGACAAAATCATCTCCAGGATAATGTTGATGTCAAAAATGAAAAAACAAACATACCTGAGCGACAAGCATCTGACTACTTCGTAGCATGCAACCCCAGCCTACATCACTAGTGAACTTTGAATCTCCAATTGCATCAAAACCTGTAAAAATAAATAAATTACTTTTTCCAATCATCTTTTAGCCAAACCTACATTCAGATATTTGCTAAAACACACATCATCATCTAACATAAACCTTTTCGGTAGGTCATTAAAATTCGTGATGAAAAATCATGTGTAAAATCAGCTAATCCATTGTTACTTGTAGCTGCATCGGCATTGGAGCCATCTTGTGAAATCTTATAACAAACGCCTAGAAGCCATATCTCACTAGTTGTGTTGGATATCCCAGTCCTGCTAGGCCCTAATACACGCTCGTGGATTCTCCTCATTGAGCCACCTGCCACAATTTTCTTCACAGCTGAAGTCCAACCATTGTTTCTAGTATGACTTCCTTTCTTCTCAGAAGTCGTAGGAGGTGACTCACGATAAGTTTCAAAGACGGAGAAAGCAGCTGTGAAAAAGCTTGACCATAAAAACCCTTTTGAGAACTTACTATCACCACTGGAACCTGGTTGGTCTAAACAATCAGATGTTAGAGATTTATTTTGCGTATCAATTGCACTTTTAGAAGAACATTTTGAGGCAACCCTCTCACGTAAACCCTTCATTACCTAGTCGTGAAGCAATTGGCTCATTCACCTCAAAACCATAGCTGAAAATCAAACCAAAATGCAAACTCAGTTTCCCAAAAAATTAATCATCAGGTTTACCAGGAAACATAACGGCAACTAGCAAATTGCATTCTGCTACTAGATATCCAGATTGCCAAATCATTTAAATAACCCATACTAAGGGAAAATGAAGAAGATATCAACTAAGTGGGCTCAATTCACCTCAAAACAATAGCTGAAAATCAAACCAAAAATGCAAACTCAGTTTCCCAAAAATTAATCATCATAGCTGAAAATCAAACCAAAATGCAAACTCAGTTTCCCAAAAAATTAATCATCAGGTTTACCAGGAAACATAACGGCAACTAGCAAATTGCATTCTGCTACTAGATATCCAGATTGCCAAATCATTTAAATAACCCATACTAAGGGAAAATGAAGAAGATATCAACTAAGCAGCAAATTATGAAGAATAAACAGGAAAATGGACAAATAGAAACTGATCTATTATACTTACCAATTGATATTGATGAAATATGGACTGGGGTTTATAGCTGTAAGAGGATGGAATTGAATACTTCAATAATCATTGGCAATTTTAGTGGAGTAAAATAATTTTCAGTATACGGGTCTAAGCCATATCATGTAATTATCTAAAAAATTCAATCAAAAATTAAAATAGCTCAATCTCTCAACCAGCTAAAGGTTGAACAGCTATAGCTATAAATTCAGCACACAAAGAACATCATTTTCACACAAAAAAAATTAGCTTCACTAGCTAAAGATCAAAAGATGCAGCACTAGCTGAACAACAGGAATGCAAGATTTCAATCGATTCTCAGTAGGGCATTTTGTCAAGCATATGATATGATTGACGCCATGGCAATGAGGCCCAAGCAAGTAAGTAAAAGCAAATTTCCAACTTTTAAAAGCTTTAAACACACATTTGAGAAATTTGGTATTTAACATTGGAGCAAGAGTTAGCAACTCTGGGCTCTCAGGGCAGAATGCCTGTCTGGTGAAGATGGAAATGACTTCTTCAGTAATGCCGTTGAAAAATGACGGAAGTATGGAGAGTTTCCTAGTGGATGCATAATTTGAATTAACGGTTTGAAGAAGTTCCGAAAGTTATTCATCGTTCGTGATAGCTCCATTGCAGCTGATAGTTGGAACCTCAAGCAGGGAAAGATACCAAAACAATACAAAGATTGGTGCTTTCTACGCTTATTTCAGGTGATCTTTTACTTGGGTCGATTAAGTCATGAACGACAAAAGAAAACATATGTATAAGAAAAAAATAATATGGAATTATTTCTAGCATAGCAAGAATCAGTGGAACCCAAACTGAACTGCGAAAGAAAAAAATTTGAGATTAAAACAACACAAAATAGCAAAAACGGGAAGAAGGAAAATTACCTTGAAAACTTTTCCAACAACGTCTTGAGCAAAGTTGAATTACAATCAAGTAGCCAAGTTTTATTAGGGTTTGAGAGAGAAAGAAGAAACAGATGGCCCAAAAGAAATCACCTCTAATTGGAGCGGAATACACGAAAGTCGACAGCTTTTCGATTAGGTGCTGTGAGTTTGAGCCAGCACGATGCGTGCGGACGACCGAGTGAAGAATGTAACTGTACAAGACGCTGCGGAAAATTGATGGAAGATGTGGGTAATTCGGTTGGAATGAATTGGAATATGACGTTATTCAATTACTATTCTGAAATTTAAAAATGTATCTTATTCCATTTTAAATTTTTTAAAAAATAGAAAATTTATCCAATTCATTTCTTTAAAATGTTTGAAATTTTGTATTTCCAAATAATTTCTTACTTTAATACATAAATAAAAATTCCAATTATTTATTAAAAATAAAATTATTAAAATGACAATGTAAATTATTGTCAAATTAAAAATTTTCGATGCAGTAAAATAATGTTATAATCTAGTGACACATCAATGGATAAAACTTTTATATATTTAATAATTTAATTATTTTAAAATTATTAAATTAAAATAATATTGATGAAGTTGTTAATTTAATTAATTATTATAAAAATATTTAAATTTTTTATTATTTTGGAAGGATATTAATAATAATAATATTATATTATTGGTGATGTTAATTTCACTGCATCAATAATCAATAATAATATTATTGATGATATCAATGATTTTCTATAAATAAAAAAATTCCAAACTAATACTTTAGAATTACATTGGTTAGTGAATGTGCTTTTAAGTTTTATATATTTAGAAGTTAAAATATTTTCAAAATATTTAATGACATTGTTAATTTTATTAATTATTAAAAATTAAGAAAATTATTAATCATATTAAATTTTACTCTACAAACAGTAATAACATTACTGTAATTTTCTTTAAATAAAAAGAAATTCTAATTAAGTAAATTAATACCGTAAAATTGCGTCATGCAACGGAAATACTATAAATTATATATATATTATTTTAATAAAAATTAAAAAAATATATATACTATAATTTTTTCCCTTTAAAATAAAATAGAAATCCATATTTTCTTCTTAAATGTTTAATTATATAAAGAATATTTTATAATATTGTGATGCTTCTAACTTATATCCACAGTCGTTAATTTTAGAAAAAATTTCTATTAAGTTCCTATATATTAATCAAATACACTAACGAGGATTTGCTTTTTATAAAATACACGACTGCATCTTTGGATTTTTTTTTTATTTGTGCAAAAAGACAGAAGTACCCTAGTTGAACTAAGATCTAAGGACTTTTGCTTCTCTTTCCATCACTATGGCTCCACCTTCAAAAACTCCTCATTGCCATTTTTGAGGAATCACAAAAACATTCTCAAAACACCTAAAAACATTAAAAGAAGAACAAGTACAAGAAAAACAACACAAAAAAAAAAAAAAAACCGTCATTCCAACATAAATAAAAGAAATAACAAAGCAGTTGTAAGTTTTGTTTTTAAAAATAAATTTAAAAAAAAAAAAAAACATTCTATATGAACTCTATCAATCCAAAAAGTAGAAGAAAACAATTAAAAAATCAAAAAGACAAAATCAAAGTCAACCAACTGTAAGTGATTGAATGTTGCTACAATGATCGAAAATTCTCATTAAATCGAAGTCCACCAACCGCAACTTAACTTCTTCCTAATCTTTTTTATTACTTTTGTTGCTCTTAGCTTTTTAGATGCAATAGATCTATGTTGCCTATGGAAATTTCACAAGTGAACACAAAAGAACTGTTAAATTGTCGGTGAAAACGACAACGCATCGAGTGTTCAAACCCATAATGCTTTTACTTTGCTTGTTCGACTTTTAATTGGATTTAGAATTTTCTGAACTAAAACAACAATGTAAATTTTGGTTTGACGAAAGTTGTAAAACCTGATTGTAGTTGGAGGGTATTTTAGTCATTAAAATTTTTCTCTCATGGTTGACCATGTTGTTTTTTTTGCTTTGACTTTGCATCAAAAACCCTAAAAAATAAACGGAATAACTAAAGGGTTGGACATGAACAAAACTTAAGGATATAATTTGTAAAAATTATGTTCTAACAAGTGTTTTTGATCAACATAAACATTTGCGGGGATAGCCAAGCATAGATTCAAGATCAGTATTCATATAAATTTAGAGATATGTAAAAACTTTAGGGGTGTATTGAATTAATATTGTGTTAGATTTTAAAAGAATTATTGAGTTTGACGGAATTGAAAAATTTTCTAAGATTTCTACATATTCCACTAAAATTCTACATAGAGTTTTATGAGATTGGTGAGATTTTTTTTATAGATTTTGATTGATTTTGATGGAATCACAATAATTTTTATATATTCAATCAAAATTAATTTCAGGACTTAATTAAACAAATTAAAGGTTTTAGAGCAAAATGAAAAACTAAAAAATAATAAGGCACTAAAAAGTAAAATGCATCATTGTCACGACCCGAATCCATGGGCCGGACCGGCACTAGGGCCCAGGTAAGCTTAAGGCTCCCGAGGCCCGTAGTAAGCCTGAAACACTACCGAATCCATGGGCCGACTCGTAGGGCACTAGGGGCCCAGGTAGAGCTTAAGGCTCCGAGGCCGTAGCTAACCTGAAACACTAGAAAATTTACTATCTTCAATATAATTTTTTAACTAGTTAGCCATACTGATTTGCGCAAAATAAACCGCAAGATTCTATTTAAACCTCGGCCCAAAATTTAAAACATCTTAAACATTTACAAATTACCCTGCTTACAATACAATATTATAATATATGCCTCACAGAATGATTTCATCTAAATAATATACACGACAAAAATTAATACAAAATCCTATAACTGCGGAGTTCTACTAACTCTTTGAGATTATACATAGCTTTTCTATACACATAATAGCATAGTGAAAATATTTATGGGATTATTGAAAATTTCTCTATGCCCTGCCGCCGAAGAACATAGCCTAAATCGGATTAAAGAAAAACTTACTTCCTGAAAAAAAAAATCAAGCCAAACTGTGAGTCTTTCTAAGCAGAAATAATTATCATCACAACACATGCAGTTCACACAAATGTGTAAAATATCGATCTAGTTCATCCATATGCTATATGCTAGCAGCCGGTCAACCCACAAAAATGGAAATCACCAGCACTCACCAATACATTAAAACACTCTTCATATAATCACATCACGTGAATAATTAGTCTAGTGGAGGTCACCGAACCCCCCGATGAGGCCGTCCTCCCACAGGCTTCATACCTTCTCACATGTGCACCAGGAGCGATCCCCCATACTGGGCCAAGCCGGGCCTCTAATCCTCACCTTGCACCAGCCCTCTCATTGTTTTTTCTATTCCTCTTTCTTTTCTTTTTTCATACCACAGGCAGGCAACCCGTGGTCTCCATCCCAATCTAGATCATTCAAGCGCTCACAACAGCTGAGTCCACCCTGCGGGCTGCCTGATAAATCTAGACTGGTCCGGTGCCATTGTTTTTCCATTCTCTCTTTTCTTTTCCATACCAACAGGAGGCCACCCTGTGATTTTCCATATCATCCATATCATATCATCAGATGCACACAGAGGCCCGATCTCCTCATACCTGGCCGACGGTCAAATTCCATATTTTCAATATTTCCAGGACCGTCCTCACAAACCCATGGTGACCCACTTTATCACAACTCCACACAAACAAAGCATAGTAATATCACAACACAGTTAATCAAACAATTTTTAATCGCAACAAATATTGCAGCACAATATAGCAATTCAGCAAGTAATGCATGATAACATTTAGCCGTGAATGCATGACAAATAAATAAATAAATAAATAATATTTGAACTCAATAAACAACAATTGATGAAAATAAATTAAATAAATTGAATAATTACAAATGTGAATAATTAAATGAACAATCATGATAATAGTAAAATAATCATAACAAGTTATAGAATTAATCTAAATAAACTTATTGATTATGTTATTAATTAAATCTAGACTAGGTTCTAGCGAAATTTCGGCAGCACCTCCCCTTATAAGTTGGACTATCTACCGGCTCAAATATCCCAATATTATGATATATTTATCAATCAGTGCACACAGCCCATCCGTCGGGCAATCAATCAATTTAAAATCCCATCCTCCTTTCAAAACAACTATATCGACACTCAACCAAAAATTTATAAACGAATTTTAATAATATCCATCTAAAATCATTTATTAAGTCATTAGTTAACTAAATTAATAGCTTTACAGTAACTAATTTGTTAAGCAGCTAAAACATATTTAACAATAACTAATTATAACTACTACCTATTAAAATTCGGTTTTTATATCAATATAAAAAAATGGCTAGGCCTCCCAAATCTTAATTTATTAAAATCTCGCCTTATTTCATCATCCTTGCATTAAGGTATAAAACAAACATCTTTAAAACATTTAACTAAAATTCTAAACTAGCTTACTAAGAAACCAATGCTAAGAACCAATGCTTCAATTAAATTACAATTTCATAAATACTTCTACTAGGTAACCCAACTCACAACTTGAACATATAACTAAAGCTTCCTAAATTTCTTTCATCTTGCCACGAAAATACAATTTCTAGATTATAGTAAATTATGTTTACCATCGATCATTACCTAACAAGATTGAAACTATTGAGCATTAACCAATGGTATCCATCACAAAAATATTAACAATATATCCATTCCTTTGTTAGTTCATATAAAAATGGTAACGATTACCTGCAATAGCTACTCCCCACCAAATGCAATAGGTTCTCCTTAACTTAGACTTATACATATATGCACAAAACACCAACAAATTTCACTTCATTTCCCATCAAAACATTAGATCTTAACGATCCTATAATCCATATCAACAATTAATTTTCATAAATTTTCTTAATTTCCCATAAAACATAATTTCCTAAAATTGTATTTATTACTTAGAATAAATTCTCGTGAAATAACCAAGTAATTTGGATAATTTTTAAAAAAAATTTCCAAAAAAAAAACACTAACATTATAACTCAATTACTACCTCACAATACTAATTAAATATAACTAAATTAATTAACTACCAAATATAAAATTTAAAATTAATTTAATTAACTAATATTACTAAAATTAAATTATACCCAATATATATTATTACCGGAATTTTGATTAACCGGAAATGAAGGCTGGTGGCCGGAGGTTGACTGACAGTGGCGGAGGGAGGCGGAGGCAGCGCGAAGGAGCTGGACAGGCTCATTTCTGGTGGTCGGAGGCACGTTGGAGCGATGGCTGGGCAGTGGCGACGGCGCGACGAGCTGGATGCGGCGCGATGCTTGCGCGATCGAAGGCAGAGGGAGGCCGGGTCTGCTCGTGCCGCGCGATCTGATCCAGGGAGCTGGTGGAGTCGCGGAGTCGCTGCGACGATGGAGCAGCTCGCTGCGATTGGCTGCGCGCAGAGCTCCGATTTGAGCTGGAGGTGCTCGCCGGCCTCTGCTACAGCTCTGTCTTCCCAAGGACGCAGATGCAAGTGAGGGAAAAGGAAAGAAAAGAATGGAAGAAGAGAAGAAAAAGAAAGAGGAGAAGAAGAAGAAGTAAGAAGAAGAATATACGCATGAGCGGTGGCACTGTTGGTGCTACGCTCGTGGTCGACAGCGTGAGGAAAAATATGGGTGTAGGAAAGGAGGCATCACGCTGGAAATAGAGGAAGAAGAGAATTCGTAGATGGCTCTGGGTCAAACCGTTCGATTTTTGGATTCGGTTCGGCCAAGATCTTTGATTTTACAACTGGACGGCTTTTTCAATCTGGTTTTTCGTTTACGTGTTTCTCACATGTGTTCGCCCACTTAAAGATACTAATAGTTCGCACTAAAATACTAATATAAATTTCTAGGCTGTCGGTTCATTAAATTTAATTGGAAAATGTTTTGAAAATAAAAATTCGGGTTGTTTCAATCATTTTTTTTAAATCATTATTTTATTCGTTAAAAACTTATGGCCGCTAATTGAAAGGCCTATAATGGCCGGTGTGTTGGCAGCCACCGTGCTCTCATTAACCGCTATGTTAAACGGGCTCAGTAGTAGGCATCCTATCAATTATTAGTAAAAAATATATTTTAAATAAATTTAAATTTTGGATAGTTAAAAATTCGCGGGTACTCTATCCATTTAAGAAGTATTTTCAACAGGTTTTTAGATGGATACAGATAGTAAATATTTACATGGGTTTCAATATAGGTACTTATACAAGTATTTAAACGAGTTTAGAATGGATGCAAATAATAAAATTTTAAACGGATATCTATACAAGTAGTTTAAAATTATTGGATACTCGCTCTGCTTTCATTCTATTAATGGGTGTATTGGATTAAGAGTTTGTAGGATTTTTAAAGATTTTTAAAATTTTTGGGTCAGGAGATGGATTTGTGAATGACTCCTTTATTTGTATATGGCATTCTCAAATCCAATGAAATCAATAATTTTATAAAATCCTTCCAACTTAGCAATTTTTTAAATACCATTAAATTTTTATGGACTTTTAAAAAATCATAATTAAATAATATTAGATTTTTATAGATTTTATAGGAGTCTTAATTGAATATCATAAAATTTTAATGGATTCTAAAAGAATTTAAATTGAATATCATTGAAATTTTAAAATTTTTTAAAATCTAACATACTCTTAATCCAATACATTCTCCTTGGTTTCTAATACATAAACAAAAAAAAAAAAAAAAAAAAAAATAAACACAAAAAAAAAAAAAAAAAAGAGAAGTGTTTCTAAAAATTAAAATAAAAAGAAAATTGGAAAAATAAAAAAAAAAAAAAAAAAAAAAAAAAGAGAAGTTTTCTTAAAAATTAAAATAAAAAGAAAATTGGAAAAATTCTATATGAAAAATAAAACCGGTAGCATAGGTAGAGAGGGCCTAAAGTAAATGCCCTAAGCTTTACATTAGGGCATATATACCATAATAATTTTACACATTTGGGGTTTATAAAAATAGAAGTTTATAAATAATGAGCGCAATACGTAAACTCAGTCAATTTCCATTTTCGTCCCCAATTTTTTTTTTGAGAATAGCCTTTACCTCCTCGCACTGTATATATGTCTCTGTTTTTCTGCTCCACAAAACAGTCCCGCTGTAACCCCAACCCGGAAGAAGCTCATCTCCTCTTCGCGCCATTCCCTTCACGCCACTCAGAGTCGAATAGCCACGCCAACCAACCGCCTCCATCACTTTACAGTAAGTAACCGCTTTTTGTTCTTTTCGAATTCCAATTTTTTGATTTGTAGTTTTTTTTCCCTTTTAAATCTTGATTTGATGTAGCTAGACTTTGGTTTATCTTTCTCGTTTTTCTGTTCAGTCTTGATACTTGAGTTTTTTAATTGCTGCCATTTATCTTATCATAATCTGCGCTATATTGGTCGTTTCTCTGCTCAATGTGAAAACTAAAACTGCAATAGTCTTAGTATCGTTACGCCAAATAGCCTAAAACTGAAACCTTTTTCTCTTTTTCCTTTCCTATCCTCTTGCCATATGATTTCTTTCTACGGCAGTCTATACAAAAACTGTTTTTTTTTTGTGTTTTTTTTTTTTACGATTTGAAGTTTTGATATTGCCGTTGAGATGATAAGCAAAGCCAATCAGAGTTTTGAAAGTTTTTGTGCTTGATAATTTAAAAAAATCGAAGAATCCGCCCGAGGAGGCGTCTCTGATTAGCTAGTTGGTGAGGCAATAGCTCACTGAGGCGAATCACCTTTTTTTGATAATTTATGATTATGATAGTGATTATCAAATTATTAATTGTGAGTTTAGTTGTAGAATGTGCATCTTATCCTACATATATGACTGTATTTGTTTGTTTGTTTTATTATTATTATTATTTAATGGTTATGTACCTGTTGCATTGCTTATAATTATAGATATTAGATATTTCAGAGAAGCATTCTCTTACTTTTGTGTTTCTTATATTACACTTACTGCAACTGCTGGAAAAGCAGTGACTTTTATTGAAAAATATTCACAAGATTATGTTAAAGATAAGTTTTTCTCCTGAATTTACTGTATGTGGAGTTGAAGTGTTCAGTTAGATAAATTTGCTGTTTTTATCAAGTTATTGCTTCTGTTTTTTTTTTTTGGATAATTGCAGGTCATTAGTTTGACAACGATAAAAAGTAACCTTTTATTGTACATCCTAACTTGCTTGGAAGAGGACGACAAAGGCTGATTTTAGTTTTTGGGTTGACCTGGAGGTCAATTTTTATCCAAATTGAAGAACTAAGGAAGTTTCTTCAATGAGATGCTGAGGTATCTGGGAGAGGCAACAATTGTTCAATAAACAATTTCCATGTCAACCTACTGGCAGTAGCTGAATGCAAAATCGAGGGAAGGGGCGAAGGTCAAACTTAGCTTGAAAGATTGCAACATTTTGGTACCTTACACTGAAAAGAAATGGCTTTTTGGTATAGAATTAACCATTCTAAAATTACACTTCTGTCACATCAATTCAAGAGATGTTTTTATGTTCAATCCCCTCTGTTGCTTAATCATACTGCTAAGACCTCAAATTCATGCACAGTAGAGAACCAAACATGGGATGTTTGTAAGATACGCACTGATTTTTGCAACAGTGCCAGGTCCTTTGCTACCTCATTTCAGGTAATTTGCTAGGTTAAATTTTCTTTATTTTTATTTTAATATTATTTTTAGAATAATTTTTAGTCCGTGATTATGTGTTAAATTTTCAACAAATTATTTTTATGGGTGAGTTTTTCTGTCTGTTAAATTGTTTGGGTAAAAGGATAGGGATTGCTTCGTGATTGAACCTAGCTATAGGTGTAAGTTTTCTTAGTGGTATTTTGTGATTATATTGTAATTTTGAATTTAGGCCAAGGCAAAGAAGGAAGAGAAGGAAAATGGTGGGCGGCGCTTAAATGAGCAAATCAAAGCTCAGTTTGTTAGGCTGGTAAAAGATGAAGGTAGATGATAAGAAAGTTTGTGTTATTAAGTTGGCCTTGTATATGATTTGATGTTATGATCTTAAATTTTTGTTCTTTCTTTTTTAAATGCAAATGCTTGATACATCTGAAAGGAACTGTTAGTTTTCTTCTTCTTTTAGTGAACTAAAAAGAGACAAATCTTTATTATATCAGAAGAGTTTAAGAAGTATGGTTGTGCTTCTGAAGTTCATAAGCAAAGTTAATAGTTACTTAGTTCTTTGGTTTTTTAATCAAATTGCATTCTCCCATTTATTAATGAATGGTCAAAGCCTCCTAGTCCACTGTTTTTGAACTATCTGGACATTCAAGTCCCGTTGGTTTACCTTGGAATTGGAATACCTTGGAATTGGAATGAGAACGAGAATGGATGTTTTAACTTCTACGAATCCAATTCAAAGCTTATTTTTTAAATTACTTAAATTAAATTTCTTGTTCAATTAAGAATAATGCTTAAATTTTAAATTATTTCAATATAGATTGAAGTTGTTCGAACATACAAATATCAAACAAATTCTGAATTTCTTGTGAACCTAACCAAAATTTGGAATCCTATCCCAAGAATTGCATTCCATTCCCAACTCCAGAGCAAACTAAACATGGCCTGAAAGAGAAATAAGTGGTTGACAATTTTCAGGGTACACTTGTCATTGTTGCCACTTAAGCTCCAGGGTAAGATGCAAACCATGCTCGTCAAATTGGAAATGAGTGGAGCAGAGGATTTGAATTGTGTTTTCTGTGATTGTGGTTTGTAGTGGCACCATTTCAATTGCAAAAATAAAATGTATAAATCATGATAGAAATACATTTTTATGTTATTATAGAATGTCTATTATTTAACAAATTAAACAATTAATTATGCTTGTTGAGAATATAAAAAAAAAAATAAATAAAATTGTGGATAATATTTAAATAACAATAGTAACATTGTGCTGATAAAAAATATACTTAATGCATAAAGCAATATGGACTTGTATTAAATTTGATTAAAAAAGTATATTATGCAGGGCATATGGTTATCCCATTACGTGAAGCACTAGCACAAGCAAGGAGCCTCAAACTTGATTTGGTTGAGGTAAGCTTTAACAATTAGCAGTAACTATTCGTCTTTTTTTACTATTTTCGTCCTTAATAGGGTTTTCAAGGAAAAGAACAGAAAATAGGCAATTATTTTTTGCAATGTTGCTGCCCTTCCTCATACTTTTTCCTTTCTATCTTTTCCTTTTGTGGTTAGATATCTGTTGTATTTTCATTTTTTACTCTTATCTATCATCTTTGAAGAGAAAATTCAGGATGGCAATTTCTGTTTATTGTAGGTATTAGGTAGTAGGTAGGCTAGATCTTCGTTCTGGATGCAAATCATTCATTCTGTGAACTTTTAGGTTTACCATTGGAAACCCTTCTGAGATCTTTTATATTTATATTAGTCATTTTTGTTCGACATGTGATTGCAACTTACAAAGTGATTTCATCTTATCGAGTTTGGCTAATCACAAGCTTAGGTCACAACTGTTGGACATCCTAGGGATGCTATAGCAAATCTTTTAATTAGAAATGCATTTATGCAGACATATATTCGCTTATGCAACTTGTTGAGTGGCTAGCATAGGCAAGTGTTTCAGGAACCATTCTACTGCATATTGCTGAAAAATGTTATTGAATATATGTGTATTGATATCGGTTGGCAGATGAGTTAAGAGTATCACTAAGCTTCCCTTGGCACCTTACTGTTCTGTGGCTTGTAATACATTTGCAGAATATAATCCCTTGTGAATTTCTTTTTTTTTTTTTTCTAGTTTATTTTTTGTCTTAATTTTATTTACATTTACCAATGATTTTGTGGGTCTAACTGCATTATGATTTATGATTTCTTGGCAATTGACCTTAATGGGAGAGGTGTGAATCTCAAGCAGGTTGTGTTCAAGGCTTTAACTGCTTTTAAGGTGGTGTTACATTCTGCACTTTATTCTAACATGCATGTGCATGTTAATCATGTCAAGTACATTCAAAAGAGGGGTTGTGTTATCGCCTTTACCCTTGAGTATTATCTCATATCTTATTTGCTAATTGTATCATTTGTAAAATATTCATGGTTTTGTTGTGGAATAAATTTGCTTAGAGGTTTTATCAAACACAGATTGAAGTGGCTGATGCTTTTAGATCATATATTGTATGAAGTTTCCTGTTTCACTTTGCAATGGAATTGTTATTACATCCTTTAAGATGCCAGTTTTTATTTAATTTGGTGTTATGGAGTCTCAACTAGCTTTATTTCTCTTATTCTATGACAGGTTCAAAGAGGGGTTGATCCACCTGTCTGTAAAATCATGGACTTCGACAGAGAGAAGTATAAACAATATTTGAAGGAGAAGGACCGTGCTAAAAGCAAGGTAAGCTGCATTTTCAGACTACACCTTTCTGTTTGTTTTCATTGGCATGAATTGAATAACAATGGTTTCGTATCTAATTTCCATGTGCTCGTTAAAGAGCTTGATTCCAGGTGCTTTTTCATTAAATAACATCATTGTTGGTAGTTAGTCCAAGCTTTCTTTCCATATGGTTATGTTCATATTCAAACTGGAAAAAACAGGGAAATTATCCACATGCTATGAAGAGCTTTGTTGAAAATATGTTTTGGGAGCTTTTATGCAATTGGGGGTGCACACTTATGTACCATTCTCCTATTTCAATTTCCCTCCCCCACTTATAAAACAATTGGAATTTTTGCATAGATCTGTAGTCAGGAATTGCAAATTTGAAATATTTTGTGCATTTTCGCAGAAAGATGGAATATTTCTTTTCATTTATTTTTTTGTCTTCCAAAAGCTTCAAATTATAGCATGATGATTAATGAAAGAAATTTATCATTGTAGTATTGCTTTTAGTGTTATGGTTTAGTTAAATCATTGCAAAACTTTGCACTTGGCAATTAAGTCCAGCAAATCTTGAAGTTGCTTTTCCTTTTATAACTCTACGGAGTATGCATTTATGTCTTACTAGTTACTTTTTTTGCTCTTTAGATATAGTGTTTATTTTGAAATTTTGTCACATAACGGTTAATAATATTTTCCTTTTTATCAAATTTGCTTCTTATGCAGCCAGAGTTGACAATAAGAAAAGGAGATGTCAAAGAAGTGAGATTTTCTGAGAAAACTGTAAGTTCCTTGTCTAAAAATTCTGTTCTCACATTATTTGTTGGTTTTGTTGTAATGATGCCCAATCAAACTCATCCTATATCTGTTTTTGTTTCTGTATTTCTAGTACTTTTCTTTTGCTTTTGCTATTTAGAAAGAAAAATGAAAGGAGTAGCATTTGGTTAAATACTAAAAGGCAAAGCAAAAAGTTAGTCTCTATGAAAAGTAAAAAAATCTTAACAAACAGTTCTTTGTTGTAATCCCTTACTTTTCTCATATGAAGTTCATGCATTTACCAAATATAGTTTCTAATTATGAAGTTCGTACATTTGCTTTACATAAAAATCGAACTTTTATAGAAATTACTTTTCCTAGAGAAAAAGACAACCAAAATGAATAAAAGTTGAACCAAATGGTGTCTTGGTGATGCTGACCATCATTAGGAGCAACATGACTGACCATCGCTTTATTATTGATGCAGTTGAGGAAGTTAGAATGGAAAGAAAGATGAACAAGTGGAATTTTAGGGTGCGATTTAAGTGTGACAGGATTTATTTATCTTTTCTAACTTTAGAATTAGATCTAATCCAGAAAAATTAACTTCTCCTTGTGAGTGGTTCGAGATCAACAAAAGAAACTTTTCTTTTTTTTTCTTTTATTTTTTTTTTTTGGACCTGCTCCGGAAACATACAAGAAAAGCTGTATGCTTCCTTAATAGTTAATAATATTTACTTGACATTTTCCCTCTGCACGCATCTTGCTGAACCCTTGTATTTGTTCAGCACAATTTTCATGATTTTTATAGAATAACTTGATTTTCAATGAAAATAGAAATTCGAAAGTTCAAATGCTTTATCACAACATTGTGGAAGCATATCAGGTTGTCAATCTCCCAACCTCCAAACAGTACCCTGGAATTACAGTAAATACTCCTATCATTTTATCTTTTTCATTTGGTACCGGAACAGCAGTTCCTATGGTACTCCAAACTTGTACAGGAAAAATATTACATGTCATTCTGTTATTTCTGGATGCTGATTTGTTCTTCTGTTGGATTAATTTTGCCAACTAGAAAAGTAAGTTTGGTTTTAAAGTAAACCATACTACTGCTGCTTTCAGGAACAAAAGGACTTACAGAATAAAGCAGATGCAGTCATAAGACTAATGCAGCGTGGTTATCGAGTGAAGGTATTTTCTCCCTTTTCCTTAGGTGTTTGTTTATAATTTATGATTAAATATTTTCTGATCGTTGAATGTCTTCAATGTTGCATGATAATTATCACAAGAAAACTAAACCCTTTCTTCTGTTGTTTTTTTGTTATATTAATAACTGAAAATGACTAGTTTCCTTCTTTTGTTTTGTTTTGTTTTTTGCCTCTGTGTGATTTTATAAAGATCCTCTTGTTTCTTATCTGCATGTGCTGGTATGATCTCACATTACTCTCTTCTTTATGTCTACGCATGCTGACCACAATTTCATGATTATTTTCTGTGTAGCATGAGTAGGGGCTCAATAATCGGTGTCTATTTTTTTAGCCCCTAATCGGCGTCTATTTTTTTTATTAAGAACATTAGGAAAATTTGAACTTTGTACACTGTCGCACTGTATCCATCTTCCAGATTTGCTAGAGGCAATGTGCACTTGAAGTGGGGTTAATTAAAAAAATGTGAGTTCTTTTTCATAATATACACTTAGGTCCTTGTTGTTTCCAAATTAGCTATTTTAGTCCCTATAATTTGTTAATTACTTTACAGTTTACAACTTTGTTCTTGATTGTAAAATTATAAAATTGTCATTATATTATAGTCCTTGATGTTTTTAATTACACTTCGTCTTAGTCCCTCAAACTTTAAAATTTGATTGCACTTTTGTTAACTTATAGAAGATTTTACTTCCCCAAAGTATTTCACTTTTCAATGATGGTAGATTAAAATTTCTAATTTTTAAAAAATGGGAAGTCGGGAACCAAATTGTCTGAAGCAATGAATCTTATGTAACTCATTCAGGTGTTCCTTTCTTTTAATAGATAAAATGAAAAATAATTTCTAGAAGAACTGCGTAATGTCTACTTGATATGCTCTGCTTGACAAAGCCTGATGGTATTCATGGAATTACATCTGTGAATGGGACTGGACATGCAAAAGCTCTTAATAGACATACATAAAATGTTATGTTAATTTGCCAGATAAGCAAAGGCCACAAGTTCTGATCTTCAAAATCCTTGAATTCACGTTGCTCTTTATATATGTTTATGTAATAATTATTCTTCTTTTATGTTTTGATCAGTGTATGGTCACAAGTTCAGTAAAGAAACGTTCTGGTGGAGCCTTGAAAAAGGGTTCAGGGGATAAAGATCTAACTGAAGAGGAAATAGCCGAGCAGAGAAAACAAGAAGAAGAAGAAAGGGAGAAAATGAAGGCATTGCTATCTCGTCTCACTGCTTTGGTACTTCTGCCTATCATTTTTCTTGTGCTTTGCCCGATTTTTTATAATTTATTATTACTTGTGTGTTATACTTTCTTTTTAACTTTTTTTCTGTAGATCGAAGATGAATGTTATATGGAGACTGGACTTATGGTGAGGAAACAACAAGCATATGTGATTGTTAGGCATATAAAGTTTGGGCCATCAAAGAAAGGTAGCACCAAAAAGGTGATGGATGTTGACAAGGTTGCTGCTGCAAAGCCAACTGATGAAGATGACCTACCATATAAAAAGCTTGGGGATGATAAAACTGCATGGTCAGTTGTTGATTCAGATGATGAGTCTGATAGAATATTTGATCTCAGTGATGATGCAAAGAAGCTTAATATAAATTGTGCAGAAGAGGAGATAATGAAAGGTCCACCAGAAGCAGATTCCTCACATACAAACTTTTACATTCCTAACTTATCGCATCCTAGACCACCACATGGTTCTAAACAAACAGACAGACCTCTATCCTCACCTCAGACCTTTGCGGCTGAAAACCGGTACAAAAGAAGTGAACCAATGGAGCAGTTCTCTCCTAGTATAAGGGACAATAGGCTGGGCCCAGATAAGACAGGTTCATTCAGTTTTGAACCGCGACTATCACGTCGAAGTGAGAACTCTCAATCACAGAAAAATACCACTCCATCGATGGGTGTAAGGGATCCAATTCGGACAGATTCTTCCTCTTCGAGAAACATAAAGCTTCCTCCAGCTGAAATGCTTAAACAAGACTCAAATTTGCCTGATGCTGCTGCTACCCGAAGATCTAGTTATGGAATATTTAGCTCTACAAAAGCAACCACTCCTGAAAAACAAGGTCTAGCAGCAGAAGATTACAAAAGTTCAAAATCTGATGGTAGCCGAAGAACGGGCGATGATGGTAACAGTGGACAAGGGAAATGGGGAATATTCAGTAATAATACCCCCCAGGCGAATTCAAATCGGGTATCCAAGTAACACTAAGGTGCAGAGAGAGATTATTTTCTGTTAGATTTATATTGCATAGTAACCTCTGAACGTAGGGCTGCAGAATATATATATTTTTTATATATTTGAAGGAGCCATTATTTATTACTTTGCAGCAGGAAATACTGCAAATACTGCTCATAATATCTGAGATCATCACCGAGGAATTTTGTTATCTAAATTCTTAATAAGCTCCATTAGAGGATATTCTTTTCCAGCCTTTTGTATTGTCCCTCAAGTTTATTTCCCCCTCTTGTTTTCTTTTCATACAGTATTTTCCCTCTCTGTTTGGATACATTTTCTTCAAGTGAAAATTCATGTCATATTAGCAAGTTCTCATCTTAGTGTTTTCTTATAAGTTTTAATCTATATGGGTTATAAGCCAAAGAGCAAGTCAATTAGACCCCAATTTTCGCTAAATACACGATTCAACCCTTTGACTATTATAAATTTTTTGTGAATCTTGAACTTTAAAAATCATTTTATGACTTTCTGAACTTTACTTTTTCCAAACTTATGGCTTACTACAGCTAATTTAATTTTCAATTTATTTGCGAGGTGTGAGATTATTAAAAAAATGAAATTCAGGAGTTATAAGGACATTTTAAAAAGTTAATGGTCTGTAATTTTTTTTTTAAATTCAATGATTAAATTGGCTCCTAATTTTCAATTTTTATTAATTGAGTCCATTAAATTATCATATTATTATTATAATTATATAATAACTAATAGCTAATTTTTCAATTTATTAATATTTTTTTAAAAGTAGTTTATTATATATATTATTGATTTATCGTTAAATGAATTACTGTATTATCTCCAGTACTATGTTTTTTTTTTTATTAAAAAAAGATAGAAATCTTATGTTGGTATGGCGGGTGGCGTCAAATGAAAACCACCGCTTGTCAAATCCAATGTCGTTTTCTGAAACACATATGTCGTTTGTGGGAATTTTGGGTTGGACGTCTATCAAATCCGAATCCTAGTCATATTATGGGGTAAAATTCCGCTTTGATAGAAACGGAGCTTATCCTCCACAGGTAAAATTACACTCCAAATCACTCACCCTGCTCTCTTACTTTCTTCTTCTTCTTCTTCGTTTTGACGTTACAAACCCTCTGTACGCATTTATTCCGTTTTTTGTCTTTCTTGTACTGGATTTAGCTGCCTGGATGTACGAGATCTCTAGGTTTTTTTTTTAACTTTGGTAATTAGCCACTTTAGTTGTACGAGTTTCTTCTATAAAATGGAATTTTTTTGGTATGCCAATTGCTGGTTTGGATTTTCTTGTTCAAATTTTATAGAAATTCTTGATTTAAGTTCATGAGATTTTCCTGTGTAATGTGGATTCTTTGTAGGTAATTTCAATTTTATGATCCTCGTTTCGCGTTCTTGTTATGCTGCTTGAGGCCATGCCTGCAACCAAAAAGGTTATTTCTTCAGGATTCTACTAGAATTGTAATGTTTCAATGAATTTTATATATGAAATTGAAATTCTACCAATTCTATATTTCGGGTTATATTGTTTCTTGTTATTCGTTGTTGCCATTTCGCCGTAGTTAAGATTTTAATCTCAAAATGGGAAAATTATTTGTAGTTGTTGAAATTCTTCTAAGTATATGTGTACTTGGAAATAGCCCGCCATGATATTGCCTGATTAAAACTTTTCCTATCTTTTTCTCGCCCTAATTGCTTATCTGTGCTTCATCTTTAACAATGTTTGTTTTAGTATTTTTTTTTTTTTTTTATCGACTAACCACTTAACCTTTTTAATAGATTATACTTGTAAAGATTTTTTTTTTTTCAACTATTGTCTTCTTTCATTATTTGGCTATGATCTTCAACAAATTATCACTTGTTTACTCTTTTCTTTGGGTTCTTTCTCGCTGTTCAAATTCAATTCTTTTTTTTTTTTTTTCTTTGTGTCTCAGTAATCTCTAGTAATTAGAAATAGACATGCATGCATAGGTTGGAAGGAGCTCCAATTCCATATCATACTATCTGTTTCCATATCAATTAGAAATTTTGGTGTTTTCTTTATTGAAAACTGTGCCCTTTTTTTCTGAACTTTTTTGTGTTAAGTTTTTTATTTGGATTTTCAAGATGATGTGAGTGATTGGATTAATCTGAATATCTGTTGTTATGTTGTGTTTAACATATAATGATCCTGTCATCTTTTTATCAAACAAGAAGAAAAATGTCTGTCTATCATGACTGGGATATTGTTCTTGGTATTTCTTCTGTTCATCAGAATTTTGATAGTGATCAGAATCACATTGATGTTGCATTCAACAAGCTGCTGAAGCAGATAGGCAATCCGGTTGAGTTTGAGCTTCCAGAATGGTTTAATAAATGGAAGCCTACACCCTACACCACTATAAAACGCAGTATCCTCTCAGAATATAAGAGTTTATTGTTGCAATTTCATAGTGGTTATTATATCGGTCTTTTTTTTTCTGCTCAGGAGAATGATTCTTGGGTCTTGTTTCACTTTTTTATGGGTTGTATATATTTGATTTCTTTTGAAAACTGGATTTTGTGAGTTTGCAGATTTTATTTTCTTCTGATTGAATAACCTGTTTGCTTTGAAGTATCTCTCTCTTCATCATCCTGTTTGTTGATATTGACAATTTTAGATATATATCTTACCAAGAAAATTAAAAGGCGTCTAGAGGATGATGGCATATTCTGTTCCTGCAGTCCATCACCAGGTTCTTCTGGTGTTTGTGGTAGAGATTGCCATTGTGGGTAAGATCGGTCTTGGTCTATTATATTTGTTCTGACCTATATATGATATATATGAGTGCAATAAAGAATTTGCATTGAGCTTTTGTTTCCCTTTTCAACCAATCTATTGGAATTGTAGTTCTTTTAAAGTCTTGTATGTTTAGACTTTCCAGCCTTATATGATAGGTTACCTTTGGTTAGAGAAGACTTGTTGGACTGGTAAGGGTCAACTATTGCCTCTTCAATTAATTGGAATAGAATGCTTGAATTTTCAAGAGTTGCACATTTCTTTGTTTGCTTATGACATTCTGCTTTTGTAAATTCCTCATGCTACCTGTGTCTTCGATTGGCATTCGATTTCTCTTTGGATTCGACCTTTTTTTTTTAATTGTTTCTGTTGACAATATGTGCTATTTTTATCTTCAATAGAGGAATAGTACATGAATTAAAAAAAGAAGAAGAAATGAAGACAAAAAGGTAAAGATTGTATAAGAAAAAAAACGTTAAAAGAAACAAAAAGCTGGCCAACACAGGCGAAGCTCATCCATGATGACTTTTCTACAGGCGTAGCAAATGTATTTAAGTTTAGATGTTTTCTGGCATATTTTTCTTTTGTTAAACATCCGATCTGAGGAGAATGGTGTTTAGTTTAGCTTTCATAGTTGCAAGTAAAACAATGATGTTGTTTAACGGATTTAGAAGCTCCTGTTGCCGGTATTGCCAATAGGCTATATGCTCTTGCTTTTGCATAGGTAACAAGCTAATAACCATATGCATGTGTGAAAAGCTTCTCTTCGTCTTTTATTTGGCTGGAAGGTTCGGTTCTCCCAGTATACCCCCACTCTCCAGTTTTAATTGTGCATGTTTCTTTGGCCTTTTTTTTTAAACCTAAATCCTATAAAATTCTTACCACATCAGATTCTACTTTGCCTTCATCTTGAAAGGAAAAGTTCAAGTGAAGGGGAGAATATTTACTCCTCACACTTTCTTTCAGTCATTAGTTAGTCACACTTCTCAAAATTTTAATTGTGACAGGCTTTGACCATGCATAATTGCCATGTTCGCTTCTTTCCTTTACAATGTAATTGTGCACACGGCTGCAATTTAAATCTGTGTTGGAATATGCTTCTGTTTTGTTTTCTGCACTCAGTATCCTCAGATTTTGACCAATCTAAAGTTGATAGCAGTTTTCGATGTTCCCTTTTGGATTACAGTTGGATTTTCATGGTGATATTATCTCTATTGACAAGCTGGAAAAAGCTGTCTTGGTGCATGGTAACTAACTATTGCAACAAAATCATTTTAAACTGTAAAACATCACTTTGATCATGTTCATTGCCATCCATGACTAACTCTGGGAGATGGCTATAGGATTGGAAGTTTGCAGTGTGGCTTTATGTGCATGTCTTATGTATATTTATTATTGTGCATAGTCTTCTTTTATCTGGAATCTTCTTTTCATATTATCATTAAATTGCTCTTGTTCCCTCCAGGATGCTACTGTCTAGCTGTTCCATAGGATGCAAATGTGGGAGTTCATGCCTTAACAAACCATTCCAGCACCGACCTGTGAAGAAGATGAAATTAGTACAGGTATGTGATTCACATGTTCAGAAACAGAGGATAATAACTTCTTTGGTAGTTCTTGAGTAAATGTCAACAAAAAGAATTGTATTAGTAATGAGAAAGTCTTTATACATAGAGTTAATAGTGCTCCACATGAGGAGAATAGAAACCAATATTAACTTTTGGCCAATGTCCAATTTAGGCCAAAATTGTCTTTTATGCCAAATAAGGATGCAATTTTCTGGTATGGGGACCATCAGAGTGCTCCAAACTCAAGCTCCTACAATGTTTTGAAGGCTTAGGTGCTAGAGTTTTTCAGTGACCTTGCTGATAGTGATTATTGCAGAAAAAGCATCTCTATATATGAAGTCAATTGGGTTGTCTTCTTAAGACGTAGTATTGTTGACACTGCTACTTCAAATGATGATGTAATTCTTTTACTGATTCTAATAAGTTGGATTAGCTTCTTTAGTCTTGAATTAATTGGATATGGCCGATAAGTGTATGTTTATGTTTCTGATAAACCAGACAAGCTTCAATAACTCTTACATCATATATATGCAACTTTCTTAATTGCAGTTTTATTGATCTTCAATTTTCAAAATTTTGTGTTCATTTTTATTTTTGATTTTTTTTGCTGAGAAATGTTAATTTTCCATATATATTAAAAATTATCAATTTTAAAAAAACTGGAGCAAAATAAAGACAAATATAAAAATTGTGATAATTTGATTGAAAATCAAATTCAGCACATCTTCCCTCCTCGCCCCCCCCCCCCAAAAAAAAAAAAAAAAAAAAAAAATTGATCTTCAATTTTCCAAAATTTTTGTGTTCATTTTTATTTTTGATTTTTTGCCTGAGAAATGTTAATTTTCCATAATATATAAAATTATCAATTTTAAAAAAACTGGAGCAAAATAAAGACAAATATAAAAATTGTGAATAATTTGATTGAAAAATCAAATTCAGCACATCTTCCCTCCTCGCCCCCCCAAAAAAAAAAAACAAAAAAAAACACCAACCCTTACTCCTCTTTAAAAAAAAAAAAAAAAAAAAAAAACCAACCCCTTACTCTCTTTTCTCATATGCACACAATGTTTTTTAGTTTGTGGACTGGAAAATAATTCCTTATTCTTTTTTTGATTTATTTTATCCATGGTACTTGCTTTCCATTTTTTTCTGCATGTTTTATTGCTTTGCAATTTGTTTTACATCATTTGCCTCATTTGAATATATTGTTTCCCATATGTACACTCAAAATGTGAAGTTAAATAAGGTATTGCTTGTAGACTGAGAAATGTGGAGCTGGGATTGTGGCAGATGAAGATATTAAAAGGGGAGAGTTTGTAATAGAGTATGTTGGAGAAGGTAATATTTCCAATCATCACATGTTATTGCCATTGGTATTATGATCTTGACATGCCTTGTTGCATTGTTTTGCAACTTATTACATAGCACTTTTCTTTATTAATGCAGTTATAGATGATAAGACCTGTGAAGAAAGGCTCTGGAATATGAAACACCGTGGTGAAACAAATTTTTACTTGTGTGAAATAAATCGAGATATGGTAATTGATGCCACATACAAGGGAAACAAGTCAAGATACATAAACCACAGCTGCTCTCCTAATACTGAGATGCAGAAATGGTTCTACACTGACCTTATTCCTAATTTCAGTCTCTATTCTTAGTGGGGTATTCTTTCTTGTTTACTTACCCTGTTTTATTTTGTTCCTTCTGTTTTTCCTGTTTATTTTCTTAAGGATAATTGATGGTGAGACGAGAATCGGTATATTTGCAACTCGTGACATAAAAAAGGGCGAGCATCTGACCTATGATTATCAGTATGAATACTTGCATCACCTCTGTTGCATTATATAGTTGATGTTGGGCTCTGCTTGCTTGGACAGTGAACATGCATACATCTTATATTTGTTTTTGGCATAATGAAAAAGTTTTATAGAGAAATTATTGAGTATGAATGAAGCATGCTAGCCCCCATTCACATTGAGGTGGGTGCCTTACACTAGCACGGGACCCACATGGTTTTTGTGTAATAAGAAGCATGCTCCTGTCCTACTTAATTTCTTATTTTTGTATCCTTAATTATAACCATTGGTAAATTTTCTGATCCTTGTCTCCTAGTCCAATCTAATAAATTTTGCAGGTTTGTTCAATTTGGTGCAGATCAAGACTGTCATTGTGGTGCTGTTGGCTGCAGAAGAAAGCTCGGGGTTAAACCTAGCAAGCCTAAGATGTCTTCAGATGCTGCATTAAAATTAGTAGCATGCCAGGTGGCGGTGTCCTCTCCTAAATTGAAAGCAATTTTATCTGGGAATGATGTATGTATTGGAGGCTGCTTATGCATATGCCATATGTATAACGACATTGCAACTTTTTTTTTTTTTATATTATGCATATATTCAAATGAAGCTTGACTGAATCTGGAATTTGTTTTATAAAGGTTTATCAGAATGGAGCTTTTCATGTAGGTAAGCCCCTTCAGTATATTACCTACTTTGTCTGTGTAACTAGTGGATGTGCAAAGTTGGTGAAAGTTAATTGCTTTTTTTTTTTTTTTTTTTTTTTTTTTTGTGAAATTATTGCTTTTTTTTTTTTTTTTTTTTTTTTTTTTTTTTTTTTTTTTCAAATGCATTACCTTGTGTTTCAGAGAGTTCCAACCATGTCCATAGCAATCAACAGGCAGGCTCTCGTAATTGCATTGGCGAAGTGATTAAAATATTTCGCCCATATAGTGAGAGGTAATTTTAGAATGTTAACCATACATTTGCCAATCAATCCGAATTTGTTTTAAGTGAAATTTTTTGGAAAAAAAGATTTTAACTAAGCATTTCCTATAGGTAAGTTAATTGTTTTGTTGACGGGTGGAACTAGAACTTCAGAATTGGTGGGGCTGGTACCAGTAATGACAAAGGAAAAAACTTGCGGATTTCAAGGATTGAAATGAAAATATCAGAATTTTAATCTTTTTTTTTTTTTGGGGGGGGGGGGGGGGGGGGGGGGGGGGGAGGCAGGGGAGTGTTGGTTCAAGAAAGAAAAGGCAAAGTAATATGCTTTCCAAAAATTGTTATGTTTAGTTGATTTTCCCCTCTAAAACAACTTTTTTTTTTTGGGGGTGGGGGGGGGAGGAGGGGGGAGGTGTTGGTTCAAGGAGAGGCAAAGTATATGCTTCCAAAAATTGTTATGTTTAGTTGATTTTTCCCCTCTAAACAACTTGATAATGTCATATTCAGGGGAACTATTTATGTAATTTGGTACTTCAAAATCCTTAATTTCCAGTCATTTAATTCCCTCACAGATTACTAACTAATTTGAATATCATTGATGGTTCTAAAACTGCATATCTGTGAATTTAATTGTGATCAAGACTTTACAAGTTTATTCCTAAATCATGCTTTTGTTGTCTTGAACCTTTTGAAAGTTGTGATTTTATTCAGAAGGTAGAATTTGGGATTGACCAAATTTGATCGGATAAAAAACAGGAGTACTATAAATACTTGTAATATTCTTGGTTAAAAATTCTGATTTCTGAACGTTTACGTTTGCTGTTATTAAACTAACTATTTTCCTTTTCCATTCTTGTTATCCCAGATCTTTTGGGATGATTAAACGATTTGATAAGCATTCAAGAAAACATGCGGTAATAATAGTTCATTCTGTTACTGTGATGTGAATGACCATTATGATCAATCTAAGTGCATTTATTTCATTGCAGATAATGTTTGAAGACGGTGTTGTCGAACTTCTGGACATGTCAAAAGAAGATTGGGAATTTGTGACTTTGTGATCTAGTTCCAGGTAATGGTTTATGGTGCAAAGCTATTTCTTTTTGCTGCATTTACCAGTTTTATACATGCATGTCTTTGTGTTTGTGTGTGAGATAAATGGTTAAGTATGTGCATTACAATATAATAAGCATCGATAGAGTTCCTGCTGGTGTTGAATTTAATTATTTAAGTAGTCTAGATTTTATTGGTTGTGTTTTGGACTGCATGCCACATTATTCTCTTCAAGTTGCATTATTTTATTTGTTTTGAAATAGATGCCTCTATTGCTTTGAGGCATTGGTGGGAACAGAGATGTACTATTATTAGCTCATTTTAATTTTTCCCTACTCGAATGTTAATATTTGTGTGGTTAGAGCCTGCAGCACAATCATTAGAACATTTGGGGAGATCAAAAGACTAGGTCAACCTGCTGTTCTGGGAATTAAAATGTGCACCATGGACCTGTTGGTGCCAATAGGTTATGGTAGCTTCTATTTATTTGAGGAAACAACGTGGTGAAAGGGTGAACTTCAAAGGATTGCTGATGTTGGTGAGGTGGTGAAGTAAGCAGTAACTTGAGCAGCTGAACTCTTGTTATTAAGATTTGCTGTTCCTACTGGCTACTTCTGAACAGAAGAAAAAGGTGTCCAGATATAAATTCTGGGCATAACTAAAATGATTGCACTATAGCTTTCCCTCTGTGCATGTTGAAATCGGGTCTTAGATCGGCATGGGTGATTGAATCCTTCTCAGGTAGACTTAAGAGCAGTCCCATGATTAGGTTGGTTACAAGCTATGAGTCTATATGTAGTTTAAGGGGGAAGTAAGTGAAATTAATACATGAAGACCTCTATTTCTAAAGACTAATAGTGAGATTCTTAAATTATGGTTTTATTGACACTTTGGTCCTTCCGTCCAAAACAGAGGGACCAAAGTGTTAACGAGATTATAAGGGAATGATCAAACTGTTAATGGCAATCATACGTTGGGGATCTTATTGTTAGTTTAACTATAATTTAGGAACTGATTTCTTCGTCAATTGCTAGTCAAAAGAGGCTATTTTGAACGAACGGACCCATATGTTCACGAAATCAGAAGTTAGGGAGCTCATAGTTAACTTTTGAAAATGGAGATCATCATGTGTTAATTTGACTATAACTCAACTCAAGGACCGATTTATTATTTTCCCTAGTTCAAGGCTATGTTAGTTTCCGAAAAATAACTATTTTTGGAAAGCATTTTCTTGAAAAATATTTTCTAAAGTAACATACATTTTGTTGTTTGGTTGAAAAATTAGTAAAAAAATATTAAATTTTTTTAATTTATAAAATTATAAACATGTTTATAATTATTAAATATTCATATTTAAAAAAATTATTGTTAAATATGAGAAATTTTTTTAAAAATGATCATTTTTAGTAGTTGCCAATGACTGGTGGTTATCAGTGGTCGCAATAATGATTATCTGTTATTAGTGGATTAATAGATGTGTGCTCGTAAGTGGTTTTTTTATATTTTTTATTTACCATTGTTTGGAAAATGCTTTCCCCTCTTAAAAATGATAGGTCATTTTCTTTTAAAATTGCTTAGTCTTTTCTGAAGCTAGTTTTTTTTAAATGACTTACATTTTTTTTAATACTAGAAAAACATTTTTCACTGACTAATTTCTTGGGTGCTCCAAACATTAAAAATTCTGGAAATTTTTTTTAAGCAAATATTTTGTGAAAACAAATAGAGGCTAAATTTTAATTAGCACCCTTTGAAGGTTATGCGCATTAGGGTATTGAGAATGGCCTGTCTCTGTTTAAGATTTTGGATTAACCCAAGTAATGAGGAATTATTTACACTTTTTACACCCTGTGCATGTTCTTGAAGTTCTAGAAATTGGCTGAAAGATTTTTCCTGTCTGAAAATAAAATATGTTTCTTTTCCTTGAAAATATAATTTGCTACCTGCAATACTGTGAACTTAACTCTCTTTTTGATTTCATTGTTCTTTTTCTTGAACTGTTGTTTTGCAGGTAGCAAAAGACTCATATAGCTGACAATCGTCGTCTGGACTTTTTTTTCTGCAGATTGTATGACCGTGTTCCGTACCTCGCATAAAACAAAATCAATCCTCCACACAAGGTCTGGGAAATGTTATTTGAGTGTATCACATGCGCATTTTTTTCTTGATGGAATTAAGTAACTGTGACCTGTAGTACTAGTTGGGAAGAGAGAAAGCTAGCAGCACCGGGAAGCAAGCTAACATACGTCCATTAATGGATTCAACGGCCTCCCATACATTCAGCTCGCGATGTCAAGTGCTCGTCTTGATTTCTGCTGATTTCTTGAGAATGAATGCATAATTGAACTTGCAATTTCTTGACTGGAGAACTATACTTTCCTACTATTTTATTAATATTATGGTTAGTAACGCTTTGCGATCTGAGAAAATTATTTTCTTATTTTTTTTGGTAGCTTTGATCAGTTCATTAGAGAATAGTTTGATTGGTATCATTTTGTGTTTGGGTTCTACAACTTTTACTAGAAACTCTGGTTTTGCATACATAATAAGGCAATTATGTATGATAAATTAGTTTTGAAGTTAGAAGTAGTTGTGGTTGACTGGCGATGCATTGTGCCTATGTGCGACGAGGAATTGACGAGTGAAAGAGGATGGGGTTGGTGTGGTAGGGCCCACCCACCAACCAAAACCAACCCCCCAACTCCAGAGCTGAATTCTTTTGGGTCAGGCAGTGGGGTGGTGGGGAGGAGAGGATAGCGACAGATGAGTGAAAAATTGTCAATTGAGTGAACAATTTTCATGCTATAAAATGATATTATCAACAATTTTTATCTTATTTTTTGAATTTCAGATTTGGGCTCTATTTGTTTTTTATTTTATAAAGAAATTTTTTGAAGGTTATAATATTGAAAATTAATTAAAAAATATTGAAAATTTTAAATTATAAGGCTATAAAAATATTTATAATTATAAAAATTTTGTATTTTAAAAAATTTGTTATAGATCTAAAAATATTTTCCATATAAATTATTTTCTAGAATAAATAAAGAAAAAGTTTGCAAGGTTTCATTTAATTTCTTTTTCTTTTTTGTTTTTACATTTTGCAATAAGCACGTTTAATAAATCAAGTGGCAAATGAAGCCAAAATTTCATTTTCCTGGAAGCAGTCCTTTTCCATTTTAACATCGGTTTCAATATATATTTTTTTGTATGATATAGCAAGAGGCTGCATTTTTGTTTGGAGTTTTTTTATTTATTTTCTTTTTTCCAAATATTCACCAGACCTGTTTTTATTAAAAAAAAAAAAAAAGATTAGACGTGCTTATTACAATTTGCGAAGGAACATAAGTTGGACTTGGACATTCCCGCTCCTAAAATCTTCTTTTTCCTAAAAAGTGAATAAACAGAAACAACAAAATACAAATGAAATGATAGGGAAAAGAAAAAATAGTAATATGAAGGCAAAAGTTTGGTTTTTTTTTCCTTTTTTTTTTTTTTTTTTTTTCCCTTTTTTTTTTTTTTTTTTTTTGGTAATGTGTCTATTTACAAAGTTTTTCATCTTAAATCATTTTTCTAGCTATTTGTTAGATTTTTGTTTTACAGGTTGCACGCATAAAAATTAAAATTTTCTTTTTTTTTTTTTTTTTTTTGGTATGTTGGTCTATTTACAAAATTTTTCATCTTAAATCATTTTTCTACTATTTGTAGATTTGTTTACAGTTGCACCATAAAATTAAATTGAGGTCAAAGTCTTTGATAATATAAAAATAGGCCTACTAGGGTTAACTCAAGTTTAGTTAAATGCAAAATCCACCGTTTGGATCAAAATATCTGTTTGACAAGAATTCTTAAGATAGTAGTTGAGGTTTCAAAATACTCCCTCGGTTATATATATTGTTCGCTGGTGTAGTGTTTCTATTAATATTTAAAAATTGAGACAATAAATAATCAAAGGATGATCTCTTTATCATTTAACTAATAGTTGATAACTATTTAAATAGTTAACAACTATTTAAAAAAAATATATAAATAAAAGAGAGAATAAAAAATAAATTATAGGGTGAAGTAAATTTAGACTATGAGGTTTGACCTAATTCATTACTTGGTCCCTGTATTTTGGTAAACTAAATAAGTAGTTTCCAAATTTTGATTTTGTCAAACTATGTGATCTTTCTATTAAAAACATATTCCCTCTGCCTCAAAGAAATAATTCATCTTTCTTTTTTGATTTGTTTCAAAATATAGTTCATTTTTCTTTTTTGCATTATAGTTAATTATTGAATTGTCTACTGTACCTTTATTGAATTACCTTATTTTCAATAACTTTCATTAATTTTTAGTTATTATTTCAATATTCATGTATTATTTAAGATGATTATAATAGGAAAGTTATATGAATAAAATTGTTCTTTGATTATATTTTTTAATCTGTATCAAAATAGAAAGTGGAATATTTTTTTTTTATAGAGGTAATAACATTTTAGCCTTTAAATATTAATAAATATATGTTTTCAAAAAAAAAAAAATATTAATAAATATACAAAAACGCCCTCTAAAATAGGCTCACATCCCCATCTCCCCCACTCCCACTCTCTGGCTCCATGTCGCTCCACATCTCCTATCCTCATCTCTGCTCATTCTCTTTCTCTCTCCATCTTTCTCTCTCTATCTTTCTCCATTCTTGGTCAATTACAGCAAATCAACAATATTCAATATACCCAAAACTCAAGCCAAGGTCAGGGGGATATGTATATATGCTCCAAATTTACAAATTTATTACAAATTAAACAAAACCAAATAAACATAAAAGGGTTGCTGTTTCACAAAGAAATATTTTTAGGATTATTGAGAAAACATAAGAAAATTGAAACAATTTGGTGTTGAACCGGGGAAGAGTTCCAAGAAGAAGTCCAAGAAACCAAAAGTCTCCTAAATGCCCTTAAGATATAGATTCAAACCTGTTTGAAAACCAGCAAGATGATTTTATGGAATTAAAACCATGTGAGAATACAATTACTGATCTTCAACAGAAACCAGCAGGTAGAAGGAAATTAATGAAAAAAAAAAAAAAATCTATAAGAAACACTGGGATTGATTTGTTAGAATGCAAATATAAAATTATGAAGCGCAATAAAAAGCCACACTATAATGAACATATGCATAACTGTATCACTTATGCATTTCACCCATTCTACTTAAATTTTGTGACTTGCATTTTCATCAATTAGACCCCCTGAGAATAGAGCCTAGATATCGCCACTTTGTCCAATCTAATCTATTCCTTTAAAAAGTTGAATTAGAACGAGAGTTTTTTGATTCAATTTCTCCTTATTATAATAAATTTTATCAATTTAGTGAATTAAAAGAAAGACTATTCTCATAGTGTTTAACTTATTAAGTCTCTTAACCAACGATGATAATAATAAAAAAAAAGTTGAATTGCAACCATAACTTTCTAATTCATATAAATTTGGTCTGCAAATTATTATTAATTGTTTAATTAGATGATTAGACTAGTTGTTTTCCCCAAATCAACAACAAAAAAAAAAAAATAGACTTGCATTTATTTTGGGGCCGAGTAAATAAACGCACTGAGGAATTCCTCGGCGGTTGTTGGTAAAGCCCACCAACTTTTTGCCTCCAAAATCTGTCTATATAAAACGACACACATAACCAAGTCGTATTTGTGGTGAACACTCTCTCTCTCTCTCTCTCTCTCTCTCTCCCCCAACACTTTCTTCTCCTCATCCTACGAATCTCTTTAAATCTCAGTAATCGCACATTTCCACTTGTCGGTGGAAATTGTGCATTCTTCTCTATACTCTCTGCTTCGTTTCTCTTTCCAAAATGAAGGTCATAGACAAAATTAATGCCGCACAAGCTGTTGCAAATGGAGGAGGAGAAGCTAACAATAGAGTCGTTTTCTCCTTCGAATTCTTCCCTCCCAAAACGGAAGATGGTGTTGATAACCTTTTCGATAGAATGGACCGTATGGTCGCTCACAATCCATCTTTTTGCGACATTACATGGGGAGCTGGTGGCTCTACTGCAGATCTGACTCTTGATATCGCTAATAAGATGCAGAATATGATCTGTGTTGAGACTATGATGCATCTCACTTGCACTAACATGCCTGTTGAGAAGATCGACCATGCTCTTCAAACTATCAAATCTAATGGTATCCAGAATGTTCTTGCTCTTCGCGGTGATCCTCCTCATGGTCAGGATAAGTTCGTCCAAGTGGAAGGTGGATTTGCTTGTGCGCTTGATCTGGTAATTTCGAACTCTGGGTTTGATTGGATAAAGGTTTTCTTGATTTGGGTTTTTATGTTGTTTAATAATTGAATGGTTTCTATAGGTGAAACATATCAGATCTAAATATGGTGACTACTTTGGCATTACTGTTGCCGGTTATCCAGGTGTCTTAGCTACTACTATTATTTGCTTGTTACTTTCTTTGTATTACTGCATTACCCATAACAGAGTTCTCTTTATGCTCTTGTTCATTTTCTTTATGCACATTTTTTCCACAGAGGCGCACCCTGATATGATTGGAAGTGATGGGTTGGCTACACCAGAGAATTACCAAAAAGATCTAGAGTATTTGAAGAGAAAGGTGTGTTTTTAACTTAATTTTGGATGTGACTGCTCTTTATGGTTTTCATTTAAGAGAGCTTTTTGATTTTGTCTGATGAGTTTACTTATTTTTATAGGTTGATGCTGGAGCTGATTTGATTGTAACACAACTATTCTATGATACTGATGTTTTTCTCAAGTTTGTGAATGATTGCCGTCAAATTGGAATAAATTGTCCAATTGTTCCTGGAATTATGCCTATTAATAACTACAAGGGCTTCATAAGAATGACTGGCTTTTGCAAAACAAAGGTAACGATTCCTCTGAACAAGTCTTTTTCTGCTTGTTTAATCTCAGCTGTTGTATATGTAATCTCAATTGATGCTTTAAAATAACATCAAAAAATAGACTTTGAATTGCAACTAATTGTTGGATACATGCATCAAACACATAGTTTTGTACTTTGTTTCTTTTAGAAATCCCATTGCTTTGAAACCAGATATTAGATAATTGGTGATGATGATCCAATGACGTGTATTGCTGGGAATGCTGGAAATAGTTTGAAAAGTTTACAGAAGAATTATGTATTTGTGAATGCAAGATTATGTTGCGTATCTGCTTAACAACAATGGATTTAAGGTGTTTGTGTTTGAAGTTTATCAACTATGGAAATGTAACATATATTTGATTTCACATTGTAGATACCAGCTGAGGTTACTGCTGCATTGGAGCCTATCAAAGACAATGAAGAAGCAGTCAGAGCATATGGAATTCACCTTGGAACAGAAATGTGCAAGAAGATTTTAGCTCATGGCATTAAGACGTTGCACCTTTACACATTAAACATGGAGAAATCTGCATTGGCAATATTACTGGTTCGTTTCTTACATCTGATTTGTTATTCTGGCTTCAAATGTTTGCAATATTTCTTGTAGGACAATTGTCTGTTATTGTATCTAACTAGGACAATTGTCTGTTATAGTATCTAACTAAGGATTTCCATTGGCAGAATCTTGGTTTGATTGAGGAGTCCAAGATTAGAAGGCCATTACCGTGGCGACCGCCAACAAACGTTTTCCGTGTGAAGGAAGATGTGCGTCCAATATTTTGGTATGCAATATCATGAAATTCTGTATTTTGGGCAGGATTTGACACTTAATAAAGGTGCTGTCTTTTCAAGATATCTAATATTTCTAGTCGATGGTCATAGGGCTAATCGTCCCAAGAGCTACATAGCTAGAACCTTGGGCTGGGAGCAGTACCCACACGGTCGGTGGGGTGATTCTAATAATCCATCCTATGGTGCTTTAACTGACTATCAGGTGCGTAGGATCACTGAACTTTATTCTTTGGCTTTTGATCTTTTGATAAATTTTGATTATGATTAATGTTATCTACTGCAATTTGCAAATCATATTGTTCTTGTAACAACTGACAACCAAGTTGCTATGACATCATTCCTGACATAGAAAATAAGCATTGTAAATGTTGATGCATTTATCTCATCTTGGCATTTGTTCTTCTGTGTTCTTTTAGATGATAAAGAAGATTCATCGTAAGACTACAAGGTTCTACTAACCAATTATCCCAAATTTCTTCTTTTTAAAGAAAAAGACCAAAACCAAAAGTGAAGTGTTTCATTTCTGGCTCTAAAAGAATGGAGTTTTTTGTCCAGAAGTCCTGATAGATATCACAGTCCTTCTAAACTAGTGAAAACTATGAAAAGGGATTTTCTTACGTGTAGAGCATATACCCTCTGTGTGCTTTTACAAATTCCCACAATTTGAAAATTCTGAAATTTTGTGAAATCCTAGTCCAAACTCCAAACACAAGTTTTCTTGTCTGAGTTTATCTAGTCAATGTTCCCTCTCCATTCACTGCTTGAGGCTAAAGACAACCTTGGAAGTGAACCTGCCTTGTGTATGGCTTTCCAAGGAAAATTAGTCCTATACCTAACTCGCCTATGATGTTAACATATGTGCGTAGTCAAACAGAGTTGAGCTTGTACTGTGTTACTCAAACTAGGCTTGACCAAAATATGCTAAGTTCAAAATCTGGAATTAGTTGGATATTTGAAATCCTTGAACAAAACTCAATCACTATTAACTATTTAAATGAAAGTTTTGACTGAGCTGAGATTCAAGCTCAGATAATATCGAGTAAGCTTGAATTCAAGCTCGACTTTGGACTTATCTTTTTTATTTAGTAATTCAATTTGAATCCAAGTTGAATAAATTTGCATAATTTGCTTGTCAGTTGTGATTAGAATGACTCATATACAAGCTTAGTAACTTAATTTCAAATAAACTTCCTCTGTCAGACATCTTTCAGTAAGCTTGATATTCTTTTTATGACTTTGCCCTTTAGAGTAATGTTATTGATTAGAGCAAACAGACTTTAAAAGATTGATCTCTTTAGCTATGGTTATCAATGTGTATAGGAGTTTCTATGATTACTTGTGCTAGCGATGCTCCTCAAGTTTTGGCATTCAATTTTTTCTTAGTTATTATTAGTTATAAGGAACTCGAGCCATAATTTTCTGTGCAGTTCATGCGACCACGTGCACGTGACAAGAAACTTCATGATGAATGGGCTGTTCCCTTGAATAGTATTGAAGATATTTGTGAGGTACAGTTTCCACTCAGAATAAGTTGGGGTTGTTTCTTATTTCTAACTCATTTAGTTGTAACTATATGTGCTCATTTCATTTGCAACTTAAATATCAGAAATTCAAAAAATTCTGCCTTGGGAAGATGAAAAGCAGTCCGTGGTCAGAACTAGATGGCCTTCAACCAGAGACAAAGATTATTAATGAACAGCTGGGCAAGATCAATATGAAGGGATTCTTGACTATCAATAGTCAACCAGCAGTCAATGGAGAAAAATCTGATTCCCTAACTGTTGGTAAGTAAAAAAAAACAAGCAAGTGCATGTTTTAATGTCCTCCAATCTGCATTATCTTCATGGTTAGAATTTAAATATATGTGCAATGTTCCTGACAAATCAAAGTAGGTCACAATCTGTCGGCTGTTAGATTACTTGATCTTTGGCACTTGTAAGATCTCAGAGGTGCTTTTGTTGGACTTCATTGCACATCTTTTCCTCCATTTCATATGCACATGTGAGGATTCTGTAACTTTGAATTGTAAGAGGTGGTAAAGAATACAATCATCACATCAGGCAGGGTGCTTTATGAAATAATTAATTTAAAAGTTGGAGCTGTGTTTTTATTTGTTTGGTTTTTGGGTCAGTTAGTCCATCTCGTGATTTACAATGATACTGAGTGAATGTCTGTGTTTTCTGCGTTCTTATTAAGAATCACTTTTGCTGCAAATGGTGTTGAAATTTCTTATTTCCCAGTGTGAGATTCATTTCTGGTGGAAAATGTACTGATTCTAAAGTTGTTTAGAGAATAACATTTTAGATTTTTTTTTTTTTTTTAATTGGAGGCATGAAAACAACATCGGACATCTCTCACTTTTCCACCTTGCTTGATATGTCCGCAGGTTGGGGAGGACCAGGAGGATATGTTTATCAGAAAGCTTATTTGGAGTTTTTCTGCTCCCCGATCAAGCTACAAGATCTTGTTAACAAGTCCAAAGCTTGGCCTCAATTGACTTACATGGCTGTGGACAGGGCAGGAACTGTGGTATCCAACGTCGGTCCAAATGATGTGAATGCAGTGACATGGGGAGTCTTCCCAGCAAAGCAGATTATCCAACCCACTGTTGTTGATCCGGCCAGCTTCAATGTATGGAAGGATGAGGCATTTGAAATCTGGTCTAGAGGATGGGCTTCATTATACCCAGAGGGTGATCCATCCAGAAAGTTGCTTGAAGAGGTATCTTGTGTTTTTTAAGATCTTTTCAAAAAAAAAAAAAAAAAAAAAAAAAATTTTTTTTTTAACTGTTGTTGATCCGGTCCAGCTTAATGTATGGAAGATGAGGCATTTTGACAATCTGGTCTAGAGGATGGGCTTCATTATTACCCAGAGGGTGATCCATCAGAAAGTTGCTTGTAAGAGGTATCTTGTGTTTTTTTAAGAATCTTTTCAAAAAAAAAAAAAAAAAAAAAAAAAAAAAAAAAAAAAAAAAAAAATTTTTTTTTTTAGTAATTGACAAAATGTTACATGTTAATATTTGCAGGTGCAGGACAACTACTTTTTGGTTAGCTTGGTAGATAATGATTATATCCATGGCGATATTTTTGCAATTTTTGCAGATTTATGAAGTTAGCTGGCATGGCAGCTCCATCAGATATCTAAGAACTCATTCAAGGTGTTTGAATTATAGCTATGTGCTTGCTCAATGTGGTGTTTTAATAATATTATGTAATGATATAATTCATTGGGATTTTGATACCTCCCTTGGGTTTATGGTGCAAAGTCCATTTGGATTGCCAATTAATTTACTCCTCAATCTATAGCCTTATCATATTTATTTTTACTATTCTTTATTCAGTTGCCACATTATAGTTATAATGTTGAAGGTGTTTTTTCCCCTTCGCTAATGTCGGGTAATAGGTATATATTATTGCTTGTTTATAGTAATTTGTTCCTTGGAATAAGGCTCAATTTGCCCTTGAATTTGCTTAAAAATTAATTTTTTATATAATTTGCCTTAAACTTGCATAATAAAATGTCCAATTTTTATCTCAAATAAATTATTAGATATAAATCAAATATGATTAAAAAGTAATTAAATATTTAATCTAAATCAAATATAACTAATAAATAATAATAAAAATAATAAATATTTTTCTAACCAAATATTTCAATATAATCAATTTTTTTTTCTAATTTTATAATTTTTATAAATCAAATATTTGCTAAATTATTATTTAAATGGAATACAGCACATTTTTATAATTATTATTATATTTTAAATTTAACCATTTTTTTTTATTTTCCAATTTTAAATTTTTTAAGCAATTTTTATAGATTAGAACTATAAAAAATATTTTTTTTTTCTTAAAACATTAAGCATTTTGTTCTTTTGTTAAAAGTTTAAGGGGCAAATTTCAAAAAGTTAATTTTTGGGCAAATTGTATTGCGTGTCAAATTCAAATAGCAAATTGAGCCTTATTCCTAATTTGTTTATATTATATTTGGATTTTATTAATTTTATACTCTCTCCATCCCATTTTGTTTGTATGGTTTGACAAAATATACATATTAAAAATTTAGTCAATATAAATTTATTTTGTCATTTTTTACCCTTAACTCATTAATATATTAATAAAAATTTTTCATTTAATAAACAATTATAAATATTATTACGAGAAAAGTAATTATTTATATATATAAATTTAGAAATCTTACAAACATGCTGGGGATATAAAAAAAAAGTAATAATAAGCAAATAAAATGGGACAGAGGGAATAAATATTACTAATAATTTTTTTAAAGTAATATTTTATTTATAATTATTTAAATATAATAAATAACAATCATGTATTCTAAAACAAAAAAATCTTTTATTTATATAATACATTAAAATTGAAAATACTACATTCACATAGAGAAGTATGATATAAAAATAATTATACTTCTAATAATAATTTTTCCACATGGGCTGACTTTACCTTTGCTTTATTCCTCCTATCACTTTAACAGGAGTAAATAGTCATTTTACCTTGTTATTTTGAATGCTTGTTTAGGATTTTGAAAATTATTTTTTTTCAACTTTATCCATATTTATCAGGGGTAATTTTTTTTATATTTATATTTATATTCTCTTCGTATCATTTTGTTTGTATGATTTGATAAAATACGTATATTAAGAATTTAGTCAACGCAAGTTATTTTACATTTCTTTACCTTTAATAACTCATTAAGATACTAAAAGGCATTCATTCAATGAACAATTATAAATGTTATTGTGAAAAAAATAATTATTTACATGTCTATATTTAAAAACCTTGCAAACATTTTAGGACATCTAAAAAATGAATAACAAGCAAATAAAATGGGACGAGGAGAGTATTTAAGAAGTGCAATTTAGATATTGTACTTTATATTTTTAAAAGATCAATAAATTTCAATTATTTTCTTAATCCTTATGAAAGAAAACAAATGTTGCTATTAAAAGGGGAACGAATGGAGTAATTATTTTTTAAAAGAACATTTATTAATTAATTTATTAATATATCCCTATTTAATGTACACTTATATTTCCATATCCAACTATTACCTTAATTCTATAATACTTGTCACATTTCAAATTTCACGTTCCTTAAGATTATGAACAGAGAAAACCAACATGTTCGCTATTAAAAGGGGAACGAATGGCAGTAAGTCTATTTTTCAAAAGAACATTTATTAATAATTTATTAATATATCCCTATTATGCTACACTTATATCTCCATATCCCAAACTATTTTCACAATCCTTATGAAAGAAAACAAATGTTGCTATTAAAAGGGGAACGAATGGAGTAATTATTTTTTAAAAGAACATTTATTAATTAATTTATTAATATATCCCTATTTAATGTACACTTATATTTCCATATCCAACTATTACCTTAATTCTATAATACTTGTCACATTTCAAATTTCACGTTCCTTAAGAAAATTATTAAATTTGTTTAAGTTATAATAAATTACTGAGTAAATTGACTATATTACTCTTTATTCAATACTAAATATCTAAGAAAACCATTAAATCAAAGTAATAATTATTGGTCATATATGAAGGGTTAACATGGAAAAAAATATTTATTACTCCTTGAGACCACAAAAGTGACAAATATTTTTGAACAAACTCCTTTTTGTTACTCAAAAAATATGAAGTTCTTGGAATTCTTTTGTTTATTCAAAATATGCACTCTATCTCCAGACTATTTATATGAATATTAAGTCCCACTTTGTTAAAAATTGATTATGTCCTAAACTATATACATTTTTTTTTATCTTTAATACTTTAAATAGTTATAATGTGACACTTATATTATAAATATTTAATACATAATAGAGTTAATATAAACTAATTATAGTATTTATTTACACGATTAGTTAGATTATATCTGATTACCACAAAATGTGCATAACTATATTAAATAAAAATTATATATATAATCCATGAAAGATGACATGTTTAAAATTCTATCAGTTGTGTCAATTAATGATTTGATTGATTTTTTTTTTTTTTCATATGAAGAGTCAAAGATTTCGAGTTCGAGTTATTTCAATTACAATACTAATAATTATTTGTTACAGGTACAAAATTTATTAATATTTTAATAAATAACTCAAGTTTTTTGTACTGGAATTCCATGTCTAAAAGGTCAATAAGATTTTGCAACGCAAAGAAAAAAGTTTAAAAGACAAAAAGGAAGTTTTCAAAGGGTTTGTTGAAGATCCAACAAGAGAGATTCTAACTTTTTCCTTTCTTTTCCTGAATCGGGAAACTTGAACTTTTTCTCCCCTATATATCTAATTACCTATAGCTAGGACAAGTCATTGTTGTAGTGCCAACTTTGAGGAGCCCCGAAGTCACATTTTGAACTTGATGACTCCCTTTTTCTTTTCATGTGTTTTCATCCTCGGATTCGTTGTAGTATTCTTAACATGATGACTCAAAATTTTAAATTTCTTAATCTATAATTAAAATTTGTTTGAAAATGCACTCCACTGCTGTTACCTAATTGTTGGGTAGCTTTCTTTTTCAAGTTTAAAAAATAAAAAAATAAAAAAAAGATTGTGTTTGGCAACAACTTTTTAAGTAGCATTTAGCATTTTGATTGCTCAAAGTATTAAACTTTATTTTTTATAGTATTCGGTAATATAATGTTTGAACTAGCTTTTATAGATTAAGGTAACATTTTATAAAAAGTTAACCCATGAAGTATTTAACTTTTTACGGTTTTATGAAAAACTACTTAAATAACTAACAGTTGAACGCTACTAAAACAACTAACAACTATCAAAATAACTAGTTTTGCTGAACAATTTTAAAGAAGAAGAAATATGATTATGCTACTCAAATAATCAACAGCTGAACACTATTAAAATAACTAATAACTATTAAAACAGCTAGTTTTACTGAAAAATTTTAAATAACAAGAAATATGAATGTAATAATAAAATAATAATATACACGTCATAACATCATCATGGTCTTATTCCTTAAACACAAAAACCATTAACAAAGTAAGGCATAAACTCCTTTGATAATTGCCATTGCCCGACTTTTTTTAAGCCTACCTTTAGGACCATCTTGTAGGCTTTGTTTGTTTTTACATTTCTGTGCCTTTTCTTTTGCTTTCAGTTTTCATTCATCCTCTGAATATTGACCCCACCCAATGGCACACATGAAATGAAAATGAAAATGTCACTATTTATTTCTTATGAGCATGTATTTTATAACATCAAATTTTAATTAAAAATTTAAATGTGAAACATTTTTAAAATTTACTAATTATTTATTTTATGAAATTGTTATTCTATTCTAACTTATTCTATTTCATTTCACAAGGTAAAAATAAAAAAAATGTATTTTATTCTCAAAAATTTAATTTCTAGTTCCAACTTTATGTATAATTTATTTAAATTTCAGTATTGTAAAAATAATTCCATATATTTTACTTGCTAATGCATTATTTGCATGGTACAATTATCTAAGATTTTTCAAGAACAAATGTATTAACGGATTCATAAATTTCAAGTTGCTTTAGGAAATGAAACGGAAAACAAAGAAAAAAAAAAGGGTAAAAAACTAATATTTTAGATTAGGTTAGATCTATTTTTGCAGTTGAAGGGTTGAAAAGTAAATTCTACATTAAATAAATACAAAAAAAAAAAAAAAAAAAAAAATGTATAAAACGGATTTCATAAATTTTCAAAGTGCTTTAGGAAATGAAACACGGCAAAACAAAGAAAAACAAAAAGCGCGTAAAAACTAATATTTTAGATTACGGTCTCACGATCCTATTTTTGCAGTTGACACGGGGAAAAAGTACAACTTCCGTACATTAACATAAACTACAAACAAAAAAAAAAAAAAAAAATCACAAGCCTTCGGTAAACAAAATAATCGATGAGTTTAATTCAAATCACATTAGCATTATAAAATGCTTCTTCCAAAAATCCTTTTCCAAGGCCCCAAGTATATTTCCCAAACCGATTCCCCTGGCTTTCAATAATGCCGGGGTTCTAATATAAACAACAGTAAGTCTCCTTAAATTTCATCATATCCTAGTGAACAATTTTTTCATTAATTCGAGAAGAATAAAAAAAAAAAAAAAAAAATACAACTTGTAAAAAATGAATGATGAGTTTAATTCAAATCAATTGATTATAAAATGTCTTCCAAAAATTCTTTCAAGGCCCCAATATATTTCCCAACCGATCCCTGGCTTTCAATAATGCCGGGGGTTATATAACAACAGTAGTCTTTCCTTAAATTCATCATATTAGTGAAAATTTTTATAATTGAGAGAATTCAAACTTAA